CAAGCCTTAAACTGAAAATTAAATCAAAAATTGAATATTAAATGATCAATTAATATCCCAAATTTACAGTTTGATATTTGTTATTTATCTATTTATTTCTATTATCTATGGTATAATCACAGTGACACGACCAAAGATTCATTATGTATGTTGCTGTAATGTGTGACGTTGAAAATCAGATTATGGATAAAGTTAAATCCTGAATGTTGCTTTTGTGAACAAATATCAATTGTATCCTTAATGAAACTAGTGTTCTGAAATATATCATGTTACATTTCATTTATTCGTACTGTATAGCCAGAATAACAAATTGTGTATTCAAGCTCTAAAAATTTGAAACATAAAATAATTTGTATGCTCAGAAAAACAAGTAATTGATTTTTATTGGAAATATTTGACATCGAAAGATAAGATGTGATTCAATGAATATGATGCATGGCCAGTTCGGATATTAAATAGATTGCATCTTTTAAAATAATGCCTCCTCATAAAAGAGATCTTCGCAAAAAATTAAACTTGGCCCCAAGAGTCAGTACTATCAATCCATTTTATATTTTACATAATGATTGAATAATGTTAATAAGTGTTAAAAACATCAAAATGATTGAGATTACAAATTTTCTATTTATTTCAAAATCTTGCTCAGGTTTAGAAAATTTGTAATCTCAATCATCTTTTGATGTTACATCATGATAAATATATAATAACATAGGTTTCTATGGCAATGTCATGTCAATATCTGTGAGAGTTGTAGAAGGGGGAAAGAATCCGAAATGATCGCAAAAATTTAGCTCCATGAGTTACAAATATTTCAATTTCAAAATGAAACCTATGTTTTAACATTGATGGTAGACACTACGATAATCCTTTGAAATGAGATCTCTCCTGTAATTCCTAATCGATGGAAAGTTGTATTTTATACACTGTTTCATAGTTACGGGAGAATACCCTTGAACAAAAAGTGGTAAGATCATTTTTAAAATGCAGAACAGAGAGGAAAGATATAAAATATAAATAAATTAAATAAACCAATAATACAATAACCATCTCTATGAAAAACATATCCAGGAAATTAATATTTTACATTTATATTTAAGAAAATTGAGTGAATTAAGCGAGATACAATGAGAAATCCTAGGCAGGTAAAGTGTACAAACACTGCTGACAAGCTGGCCATTTCTATGACATATAGGGTTGCTTAAGTACATATTACAAATACTTCTGTCAGGATCAAGAGTTTTTGTACAACTATATTCAACTTAGATTCATAGGTTTTTAATAGAGTTATTGAATAATCTGTTCATAGGTCAATCCAGGAAGATTTATGATTGCTAGGAGATGTTCAGAATGCAGTTTCCTGTATGATGTAAATTGTTAACTGAACATTTTAACCTGGTTCTATTTACCCTGAGCCCTGAGCAGAGTTTAGTGCTAAACTATCCTCTGAAGAGGTCAGAAAATATGACAGTTTAGCAGCCCATCTTTTAAAAAGCTAATTTAAACAAAACAAGGCATTAACATCCAAAATGTCACCACCTGCCATTGGTTACATTTGTTACAGACACAGACCGCCAATCGCCGAACATGAACTGCCAACCACAAAAAGTTGGAGACTATAACAATATGTCACCGCTTCTGGTGATGAAGTAGAAAGGTTAGGTTCTATGAATCAGGGACCTGCATGTATATTATTGTACACTACATATATATGATATTTTCTAGTAAGGATATATAATCAGTATTATCCCATGGTAAAATCCATGATAGTAAAGTAACAGCATCATTTACTAAAGTGCAATCTTTTTAGGATATCAGTAATACGACATCACATCAATAGAAAAAACTTCAATTATTTCTTTCCCCAAAAATAATTACAGTATAAGAATTAATTATGGAATAAATCCGAGATATATTATTTTTCACGATTCCAATTCTATCAACTTGATTCAAACAATATAAGCACCTATTTCGCTTGCTCAGTTATGCTGACATCATTTCCTCTTACTTTCTCGATCGTTGAAAGATTGGTGTCAACCAATTGAGAATGGTCAGACACTAGCAAGAGTATGGAGTATGTACTTGAGACCTACGAAACATTGATTTACAATTATGCAAATTCGGCTATATAACTCAGGTATGTTGCATTATAATACAGCGTATTATAATTTATGTTCCTGCATATAAAGATTTGCAGATCACAAACATGTTTGATTGAAATTTAATAAAATAATAATAAATTTAATAAAAAAAAAAAAATATTTGTAAGTACCAGGTCTATCATTGTATATATAATATATTCTAAACTTATTCACCACCCTATGCAGACAGAGCCTGTGGGAAATATTGGGTGCGGAGCAAATGAGCGGAGGGTGCGGAGCTAACGGTTATTTTTGAATTTAAATTTGGGATATTTCTGAAACTAAGCCGTTTTGGGACTTCAAATATACCAAGATATGTGTATTTGACACCAAATATCTATACAATTGTGAAAATAGTAGCGCAATTCATTCTATAGCGACGCAGTGTGCCTTAAACCTTTCCCAGACCTATATATTTTGAAATTATCCTTTTAATACTGAGTCCCCAGCATTCCTAAAAAATGGTGTTCAAGGTGCACTATCCATACAAATTATTTTTGCATCTCGGAAGCCAGGCAGTATCTGTGTGATTTTATAAAAATTCGGAAATTTTTTCAGATATGAGCCCCCTCTAAATATTTGGTGCGGAGCAGCTCCATAAACGTAGCTCCGCACCCAATATTTAGAGGGGCTCATATCTGAAGAACATTTCCGAATTTTTATAAAATCACACAGATACTGCCTGGCTTCCAAGATGCAAAAATAATTTGCATGGGTAGTGTATCTTGAACACCATTTTTTATGATTGCTGGGGACGCAGTATTAAAAGGATAGTCTCAAAATATATAGGTCTGGGAAATGTTTAAGGCATACTGCGTCGCTATAAAATGAATTGCTCTACTATTTTCACAATTTTATTGATATTTGGTGTCAAATACACATATCTTGGTATATTTGAAGTCCCAAAACGGCTTAGTTTCAGAAATATCCCAATTTTAAATTCAAAAATGACCGTTAGCTCCGCACCCTCCGCTCATTTGCGCCGCACCCAATATTTCCCACAGGCTCTGTCTGCATAGGGTGTTCACCAGAAGCAAATATTGAAACATGGAAATTAACAATAGCTAAGATTGCTTGAATTTGATGTTTGTGTTTATGATTTCCGTTTCTTATAGAGGGTTGGTTCAAAGATTACATAAAATAATTTAACTTAAATAACACTATTGGCTTTATTTTTAAGGGACCATATCAACACTTCAATAAGCAGCTGGTACATAAAACTTAACATAAGAGTAGCACTGCAAGATCTGAAACAAAAATTCAGCTTTTTGGGCATTACATCATGTACATGCACTAACAAAAATTTATTCTTTCTTATTTTTGTGAAAATGAACGTTTTTGGAAAATGGACATTTAGGTTTGATACAATAGGCTGAAAACTTCCAAAATAGGCCTAAATTTTCAAAAAGTAGGCAAAATTTTGAGAGGGATCAGTGGCGGATCCAGGAACCAACAGGGGGGGGCCAAATTTGAGGTCATATAAAAAATCTCCGCGCTTGCTGGGAAAAAAAAAATTTTGGCCCCTAAAACCGAATTTTGAAAATTTGAGGCCCATTTTCTTCAAAAAGAAGGGCCCCCCCCCCGGATCTGCCATAGGGCATATATCTTTATCCTCCCCTTGCTCAGATCATTCCCAGATCATCCAAAGGGATAAGAATAGATAGCTTTAAACAGACTTAATGAAATTTCTCAAAAGTTAAATCATAACTAACTAGGCTGAACATAAGGGTCTTGGAATGGCCCCTTTAGTATTCTTTAATCCTGCATTTATTTGTATAATGTCAAATTCATAGTACATATGCACTTTTTGTCAAAGCCAAAGGCCAAATGGTTAAGTGAAATGTAGGATGAAGTTCTGCAGAATAAAATCTACATATGTATATAAATTTTCTATGAAATGGAATCTCTATATAATAACTTGTTTAATTTGTTCTTAGTTCATCTTTCAGATGTGTACACATTGTTTGCTTCTTAGCATAATTCTTTCTTCTCAAATTAAGATTGTTAAAATATTCCTGCCAACCATTATATTTCCTCATCTATAGATTAGAGCTTTACTGAAAAGGATGCCTGGGGAAAGTTGATTCCAAATTTATTCAATAGACAAGTGTATCCAATAGGTATCCAATTACCAAAGTACCCCACACCAGGTCAGTTTGTTATTGAATTAGTCATTTCAATATATGAATAGCCAGAATAATCTTTGCATTTGTTCTACTTTACTTCTTAAAAGAGAGTTTCGTCTTCATAGTAGTTAATGACAAGACTCAGGGTATAGCTAGAAATGCCACATCTCAAATCTTCCATAAATTCCATATTTAATCATTTGCTTATGAAACATTGAGGTATATTAAAAGAATAGCTTTACCTGACAGTGCATAATTTAAGTTGCTTTTAGTAAATGGTGTTTTGTTTAACTAAATAAAGATTCCCAGGAATACAATAATGTCTGGATAAATTGTGTTTACACTGTATAAAAATGTAAGTTGTTTTCAGTAGATATGTCCCAATGCATATAATTTCAAATAGCAGATGAAATAATACATCTACCATGTTACAACATACATTGTTTTACTTGAGTTTCCCTCTGCTTTGAGATAAATTAATCAACTTTAGGGAATTTTGGACAAAAGCTAGTACTAGGGACCAACTTCTAAAAAACATTACTTAGATGTCATTCCAGTGATTGTATTTGGCTCATTTCATACCATACTTTTGGAATGTACAAGAGCCTAATTTGTATATGATGCAAATATTTCACAAATAACACACATGTAGGTGTTAGGTGTTATTGTTTCACCTGAAAATTTTAAAGCTCTGAAATAAATAATGAAAAATAAACAATTTTGTAAAAATACTTACTTTAACTTTGTTCAACATCTTGTACTTCCACCTAGCGAAATCATTCTTCGCTATATGGTAACCTTTCCCATGACTGTAAAGATAGAACTCTATCTCATCTACTATCATCCGTACAGCTGCAGATTCACCATATTCTATATAGGCATCTACTAGCTTCCCCCCGCCTGCGAGGTTCACATAATGGTAGACCAGATTATCCATCATCTCCGCATTTTGGGCCTTCCAGGCATTGTCCGGGTCGGGAGCCCCTATGTTACACAAATTTCCCATCTTTCCCGAGAGTGAGAAACAGTTAATCCCGGAATGTTTATAACCCAAACATTTCATTGAGATACTATGTTATCCTTTCAGATTTAGTTCCTTTTCGTCTCAATGAAGAATTGTTTCCAACTTAAGTTGTCTTAATCTTTGGTCAGCCATCTTGATTTCATAAGTTTTCTTCTTTCCTATATCCCTGGAAAGAGCAGTCCAATATTGAGTCATACAACTTTCTCTCTGTATTAATATTGATAAGTGTGTCATTCATTAATTAAAATCATACGACTACAAAACATATTTTCATTTCCATTCTATTTCAACCATAAAAATTTGTCAACCTACACAATTCATTTTTCTGTTCTTTTTAATTATATCCTTGAGGTTTATTATATTATACATTAATGTCTACAAACCTGTTTGTACTAATCACCCAATACAAAATCTAAATAAATCAGTCATCAAATTCTGAAAATATCCATTAAATATCCTCGTTTGGTTGAATAAAACCAAGCAGTTCTGTTTATCAGTATGTTATGTTCTTAGAGTCCAATCAAGAGCTTAGCAAAACTCCTAGAGATCTTGTGGCTTAATCCAAAGTCCAATATAAAATATCTCCATAATAAACCATTTCATTGTTACAAAGCATACAATTGGCTTTAAAAACAAAACCTCATGGAAAGCGCTATGGATGCAATTTGTAATCTTATAATGTGGAATAATATGGAAGTTTGAGTTCATGAGATTTTTCTGATTCTGACCATATATTTGACATTCATCCCACATGGCTAAGGAAACATGTTATTAGTACAGGAACCTAAATTGGAAGACTGAGGCAAATTAATTTGTGATTAAATAAAATAGTCAGTATAACTCAAAATGTCTTATTGTATCCGAAACTTTCAAAAGTTCATTCTAATTGATTCATAAATTCAAAAGCCCTTGACAATTTTGACAAATTATTAGCATGGCAGGCCCGTAGCGAGGGGGTTTTGATGGGTTCGAGCGAACCTCCCCTGACCAAAAATTCTTTCATATGCAGTTTTTCACCATTCTTAGCAATGTTTAAGTGACATTGGCCATTTTTGGACCAAACTTGTCAAAAGTGAACCCCCTTGGAATTTTTAAAAAGTGAACCCCCTTGGCAAAAGCTGGCTATGGCCCTGTATGGGCTATATCTAAAATGCAAGAAGTATACAAGTACTACCATATTCTGTTGTATCTTGAACAAGAGAACAAGGTAAAATCTGCTTTTGCCAAGGGAGGTTCACTTTTCCAAAAAATCCAGGGGGTTTACATTTGATAACTTTGGTCCAAAATCACTTAAAGAGTGCTCAGAATGGTGAAAAACTGCATTTTTTATTTTGTTTTATGACCAACTCCCCCCCCCCCCCCCCCCCCCCCCCCCCCCGGCCCACCTGGCTACGGGCATGGGTTGTCAAGGAATTTGATAATCCAGGGGCCAAGTAGTAAATGAAGCTCTATATTGTTAAAAGAAGCAAAATCAAACTATTCAAAAGGATACTCATATCGTAAACGGTGATATAGTACATGTACCTTTATGCATCATTGAGCTCCTTTGTCCATCTTTTATTGTTAAATCTCAGTAGATAATCCCAGCACTCATCACCATTTCAAGACAACCTTCAAGAAGACAATAGATAGGAGGAAGCTTAGTTGTTTATTCTATCCAGGAACTACGTATACAGTATATTGGCAGATAGTTAAGTTTATTTCAATAGAGATATTCATTGATTTATTAGCACTAAATGAATTAACAATAGACAAATTTTCTAGTTTTCAAAACATCCTGTCATGCTGCATTTTTATGAACATTTAGTTTTTTGCATCTAAGTGCTATTTATTTCCATTTTTAGTATAACAATTACAGAAATCAGAATGGTAACTAAGAAAGCAGTTGATGAATTACACCGAGTACCTGTCAAAGCCTAGTGTATTATGAAGATGAAGCTTCTTTGACAAAAGCGACCCAAACTATCGGAAAGGGCACCGGTGAATGCTTTAAAAAAATTTATATTGGGCAAGCCTATCATCAGATAAGGTATAACTTTTCGTTATGTTAAAACTGTTAAAATGTTAAAATCATTATACATATATTATACATAGACAAATAAAAAATATTCTTAAGAATAAAACAATAGGTCTAAAAATAAGGTATAGGATGTTTAGGGGCCTCAATTTTTAAAGATGTGAACAAGTATTAAGAAGAATGATCCAACTCTCCAAGGGATTATTTCATTTCATTCAGTTAAAAAATCATGCATGTTATTTTTTTAAGTCATCATCCACTGGAACACTGAAGAAGAAAGTTTTGACAGATTGGAACCACCTTTCTCACTACAGACAATTCTGTATTATCAAAGAATCCCAGACATTTGCCATTGATTTCTCTCTAATTACTTTTATGCTATAATGAATGGTAGATAAAATTGTAGTGTTGATACAACATATCACTAAGTATCACTTTCAGGCTATCCCACTCAGCCAGTTATTTCTGGATAAATCACAGGGAAATATAATTCAATAGCAATTGTATGAGACAAGTCGGTATGTTACCTTAGGCCCTAAAGGGTTTAGTCTAAAATAGACAAAATCCTCTTTTACCAGACAGAATCAAACTGTTTTTATAAAAAACAGAGATCTCTTTCTAAGTTGATAGCTTGCATTGTATCATTTATATGTCATAAAAAGAGAGTGTCATTTTGAAGTTTGAAGTATACACCTGTACTTTGAGGAATGCAGTTTCTGGTGAAGATGACAGCATAGAATATATAGATGAGTCTCATTTTGCTTTTGCCCTTTATGTCAATTTCAAGGTCTGCCCCTGACATTTGTATGTTTATTGAATAGATTACAAAAAAAATATTTCACACATTTCTTTCCTTTGCCATTGGAATTATGAATGTCTTGTTCATTTAATGTTTCTAATGATGCAGACCTAATTGTACAAAAACATGAATAATTCACATGATAAATAATAGATGCCCAAGTTCTATGATTTCAGCCTGAAGATACATACAATCCCTAAGAGGATATAATTAGATCACTTATTCAGTATTATACAACCTCAAAGCCTACTTGATTTTCATTGCATATTTCTGAGCGGTCATATTGTTCTTTTTAGCTTAGCTCACCAAAGTCTATACCAATAATTATTAATAGGAAAATTCATTAATAATATCATATTTATTTTACTGCAGATTAAACAAAGAGAGTGGTTGACTATGTAGTTAGTGGTTACCAGGTTGAAGATTGCTTTTCAATATGCCACAGTGGGGGCTGGATATTAAAATACATCCCCAACACATATAGCTATCTTTAAGGTCCACATTCAATTCACTAATATACATACATTTATTTTTTCAAAAATAATGCTTTTTGATAAGTCTTTGTGTTTGTCGCTTCTCTGAATGAAAATAAATTGGAGCAAGTTCAGTTTTTTCCACAGAATTTGTTCTCAAATGAGTGTATAATTCTAATTTTCTCAACTCAGATTGAAATTGGGTCAAAATATGCCGATTTTTCATGATTTTTTTCATTTACAAGTGAGTGCAAATAGATTTTCAGGTGGGTGAAGCCTTAATTTATAAAATCTCAGGTGCTGGGGAGATCACTGGCAAATCCTTTTGCACCTACTTGAAATGAGGAAAATCATGAAAATGGGCATATTTTGGACTGATAAGTGATAAAAAGAATTTTGCACCAACTTGAGACTGCATAGGCATTTGATTCAATTATTAAATCTGATCAGAATGTGATAAGTCAATCTCTGCTGGAGAATTGATAATCACGAGCAGATGTATTCTGTGAGGCAAATACAATGCAGAAATTATTGTTAGAATTGTTTATTTAAAAAAAAAATTGGAAATTCAGCATGACAGGGTCCTGTTCAACTCAGTTCCTGCTCAAGGACCTATTGTTCATTTATTCAACATGTTCAATAAAGCAACAAGGCCCTAATACTAGAGAGACATCTTTATTTTTGCATTTTCATTTTTGCATTTTCAAAACGGGCTTCTGTATAAATTACTAAATATTTATTGCAAATCTCAATAAATGAAGTAAATGCGTCACCTGTACTGTGAAAATTGCAGCGAAACATTATTCACAAAACTATGATCAATTTGAGGAAGCATTAGTTAAAAATATACATTTTAACACTTCAATCTTGGTAAAATTATGTTTGTCTGAAATCTAAATAAATTCTAAAAATTAAATGCTTAAATAACACAGCATAGTTTCAAGTGGATATAAAGCTAGAGAATATTGTTTTTAGAATATTCAGTGACCTACTTTTTAAAAGTACAAAATAAGTGGCTCTCTGAATTTTCTCATTTTTATACATTTTGATGACAAAAGTTTGAATGTGTTTTCGGCTGAAAATAACATTTGACTCCAATGAGGATTACGATTACATGAAAATTCTAAACATACACACTTACCTTAACATGATGGTTCAAGAAAACATTTTTGAAAAATTGCCATACCTGCACATGTTATTTTCTGGTACAAAATAAAGTCTGAAGACATGGGTATACATGTACTTCGTTGTCTTTTCTGGAAATCATCCTTATAGTGAGGAGGCTAGTGTCAACCATTCTGCACTTCCTGTAAAAAGCAAAATTATAATTGATTTTACATCATAAGACAACCCCAAAACTGACCTGAAATATCTCCAAGCGATCCTTCTGTGTTTTCACCAAAATTCAAGATGTTTGCCGCAAGCATGTCAATATAACAGCGATAAACACATAGCTTTAACTTTTCATTTGTAACTAGCAGAGCTATGACTTCAATATTTTGCACACATGATTAATAGGTCATTTATAGTTATTTTTGTGAATTTGACCAAAATCCGTGCTGTCAATACCGAGATAATTGTGTTTAATATTTTAGCACATACGCATTTCAATAAGATGGTAGTGATTGAACAATGTATATATCCTTACACATGTAAAGATGCAATCTCTCCTTGCAGGTTTCTTAATGACATGTATAGTTACCAAAAAAACAAAATAATTTACATGTATTGTTTTGGATTGTGCTGACACAATGACTGGATTGTGCCAACATAATCACTTCTTCACAACAAGGAAGTATTTTCTTTGTATGAAGCATAATTTGTTCTGAAAGAAAAAAATAATACATTTATTTGTTGAAGTGTACAGGCATTAATATTTCTGAATACGAATAAAGATGGTTTTATCGCAGTGATTGTGCCAGCACAATTCAGTCTATTGTGTCAGCACAACACAAAAATGACACATGCAATAGCCCAAATTGGTTCTTCAATTGTCTTAAGTGATTCCCTAGTATGCAATGGAGGTGCTTTGAAAGCCTCTTTTGGTTCCATTATAGCCCTGTAGATAACCCAGAATACACTGGTTGTGCTTTAATACCCCAAATAGTGATAACCAAGTATGTCCTGGTTGTGCTTTGATACTTAGCACTTATATTAGGAATCACTAAGAGCTATTAAGGAACCAATTTGGGGTATCAAAGCACAACCAGGACAAACTAGGTTATCACTATTTGGGGTATTGAAGCACAACCAGTGTAAATATCACCAAAGATTATTAAGGAACCTATGGGGATTATCAAAGCACCATCAAACACACTTTAAGGAATCACAAAGGGGCACTGAGGAACTAATTTGGGGTGTCAAAGCACAATCAGGGCATACTAAGTTATCACTGGGTTATTAAGGAAATGGTGGGAGTTATTAAAGCACCATTAAGCATACTAAGAAATCAAGTTTAGTTTAGTTTAGGAACCAATTCAGGCCCATCGTGGTATGAAAGTACAACCAGGCCATACTAGGGAATCAGCAAAGACCGAGGAAACACAAGGGACTATTTAGGAAACAATGTGTAGTACCAAAGCACACCCTGGGTATACGAGGTTATAACTAAGGCTATTAAGGAGCCAATAGGGGTTGCTTAAGCACTATTAAGCATACTTAGGATTTACAAAGGGCTATTAGGAACCAATTTGGGGTACTGAAGTACTGGTACTATGTCAGCACAATCCAGTGGTTGTTCCTGCACAATGACATGTTCCTGACATATTCTCCACAGAATATGTCACGCATATACGCATTTTACCTGATCATTGTCAAGCAAAAATATTTCTGTAGAAAAACTGAAAAAAGTGATTGCCAATCCAGCAAAAAACTTATTAGTTTGCAAAAAGCTATGTGCAAATATAGTAACAAAAAAACGAACGCCAAAAAAAATTAACGTATTTCGTTCAGACTTTTCATGTGTATAATGTGTCACAGAATTTCAACGAAATATTTCGTACCTACCCCCTCCCGTTGACACTGTTCCTGAACACGAGCATAGCGTTATGCAATATACTTTTACCAAGGTGTTCAAACTGTGGAACAAGGCGTTCAGATTTGGAGCAAGGTGTCTACAATTTGAAGAAAGGTGTTCAACATTTGTAAGTCACTCATGTTGGGTGTTCCAAAGTTGACAGGCCTGGAGATAATATCAGGTCAGTTTTAGGGTTGTTGCTTTTTTACCGGAAGTGCAGAGTTCTTTGGCTTGTGACCTAAGCCTCTTCACTATTACTACATCTTGTGTTAAGCGACCATTTTCTTGAAATATCAGCATTCCTGGAGTTATAACTTTAATATTTTGCAAGGCACCTCATGTATCCGCAGGTTTGATGATTGTGTAGCCGGGATGTAAATTTTGCTATTTTTGCACATTTTCTTTCTGTTTGCATTTATTCATAGATGTCGCACGTACCAAATTGACTCAATAGGTGGCAATATATGACTCACCTGTGAAATTAATCCGCCCTTTGGAACTATTTGAAAACAATCAAACATTTTCTAAAAAACGACTTTGTGACAACATATGGTGGCATAAGTAGAATATGTTATCATACTTTTTCTTATAATAGTCACAAAATATGAAATGAAAAGGGTGATAAATGTATAACACCTCGGTTCTTGACGACCTAACTTTTTTTGTTTGGGTAATCAAAAATAAGTGAGTAAGTCGTCTTGATCTGAACTTTCCAATTTTTCGATGGTAAATTATTGAATTATTCTTGTTGTTTTGGGAGTAAGAAGCTATGAAGGCAGTGTTCATAGCTGCGTTGGTGAGCTGTTTACAGTATGCTGTCAACGTAAATGCTCAGCAGTATAGGATAGGTAAGTAATGTACAGGTAGATACAGGTATAAAAACACCTGTAATCAGAATTTCCAAAATGGCGGTTATTTTGTAAAAAATCGTAGTTCAACAAACAACATATTATATATATCTGTTTCTGTTGACCAATTTGCTGATATTTTCTGGTCTGGCGTATAATTTTATAATGCGCATATAAGTCCTTCATCCAATGCTAAATGTATTAACTTTAAAATCTATGCAAACTGTGAACATTTAAATTTCAAGTCATGAAAATATTTAGTTCAACAAGTTAAACCTAGTCTGGGCCTTATTTCTTATCTGACATATCTTGTGGCCCGCCCTAGGTTTAACGTCCGTGCCTATTCGGCCCTTGATGCAAAAAATTTAATGGTGGCCTATGGTAGCGCATGGAATTCCATGCGCGTTTAATTAATAACTGATAGTGAGAATTTGCAACAAATGAAAGCATAGCACGGAAGTTAAACCCAACCACGGCAACAAGAACATTCAGATTAATAAATGAAAGCCGTGGTATTGGGTTTAACTTGTTGAACTAGAAAATATTTTGACCTGAAAGTTCATTTCCTGATCACAACTTTACTCCAATTGTTTTGCCGTTTTGTACTTTTTGCATAATCAAACCTTCCAGTGATGATTGGGGATGGCACTGGTGTGAACATTCAAATTTGACAACAGAAAATTGGTTGCCGACAAAATTATGTTTCAAAAGTTCTTTCTTTGGTTCCCATGATTTTCCTTTACGTTCCTTTATGAACATGATCGATTGTAAACAAGTACATGTACTGTACATGGAGAGTAGTTGCCGCATATCCCTCAGAATCTAATTTTTTGAAAATTTTCGTGTTTAGTGGGAAGTTCTTTCATATACTGATACTCTATATACTCTCAGGTTGGGGACATAAATAAATGACAGGTGGATTTGCTGAAGTGAGGATTTCCCATGTTAAAAATAAGAGAATTTACAAGAGGCCATAAATCAGTGGATGCGATTTTACAAAAATGTAAAATATACAAATTTTAAGGGATATGTATCTAGACAATATTGGAAATTATGGGCTTTCAGACCACCATAATTAGGAAATGGTGATCGAAAATCGACCTGTCATTTATTTTTGTCCCCAACTGTATAGGTTACACTTTTCTCAGTTTAAACTTCACTCCACAATTGAGAATTTTACTTGCATCCATTGTACCACTGAAAAAAATGTTTTGATTGATTTCAAGCATTTACAATAAGAAGTTTTTATGTGCATATTTCTGTAAATTTGCCACACCTTCAAATGCTATATTCTTGTGCCTAACTCCCTAATCTACATAATTAGTTAATTAGTCCTTGCTATAACTTAGTACACTTGTCTCCTCTAAGTGTACCCCAATGTTTTGTCCCTTCCCCCCTAAATCACACCTTATTGCCCCAAACCACCAATAGTTTTTTTTTTAAATTATGTATTTTTATTATTACATTATTTTAACCAAAACATTATTTTAAAGTGAATATTTATATACTGGTGCTGATCAAAATATTTATTTGTCAATTTTTAAAAATTCAAATCAAACAAGTTCTCAATAAATTCTTTGAAAACACAAGAACATTTTGTAATAAATCTGCATCTACAGGTGTGGGATGCCTTGGTATATTAGAAGAAGAACCCTATCTAAACCCTATGTTGCTAAATAGGAAATTGTTTCAGGAAATAGGTGTTACAAGAAATGTCTCTTTCAAAAAAACATTGTACGATATGACAATTTAGCACAAAAAATGTCCATTAATTAAGCCCATCTTTATCCCTTGCCATTGCTGTTCGTAAATGTTAATACATTGTTTTCCAGAGGCAAGATGGTGCTGTATCAACCCACAAGAGTTGGAGAAGTGTGAAGCTATGAAAAAGGCGTTCGAGGACAAGAGTGCCATGACAACAGTTATGCCACCATGGAGAGCACCTAGCATGGCTATCCTCACATGTGTCAGGGGGGCTCATAGGTAAATAAAATACTTTCTCATGCTTCAATACATGTACCTGTATTGCCCTCCATCCATATTATTATAGGATCATTAATGAAAATTGTTTGTTGATAATGTCTATGTTAATGATTAATTTCTTATATGTATAATACAAACATAATTATGCTCTTATCAATATTTGTAATCCTTTATCTTAAAACAAAGTGGAGATTAAATTTTTTGTTAAATGTAAACATGGACTCTTGATACATCAACCAAGCTTTTTTTTAATATAGATCTACAACACATACTCAAAAAAAATCCTATAGTATATTTATCAATATATATGTTTTTCTTTTACAGGTTTGATTGTATGATGAAGATTAATAATAATGAGGCGGATCTGCTAACCCTTGATGCAGGGATGGGTTATATAGCAGGAGAATACTACACTATGATGCCGATCATGGCAGAAAAATATGAATCAAATAGTAAGACCAATATTGAAAAATCACCCAAAAATGCAACTTAGTTTTGAAAAATTTTTGTAAATTCTTCTGAAATTTCGTTGACTGCAGGTGCAGTGTGTACAGAACAGAGGCTGTGGTGACAATTTGTAATAATTATGATAATTCTTGTAATTTTTCCTCATAGATCCAGCCACTGGTGGTGTGAAGGTTTACTCTGTTGGTGTGATGCGCAAGAACAATAGGGCGGTCACTAAAAATGAGGATCTCAAGGGCAAGGCATCTTGCCATACAGGTATGTCAAATACTGATGTTAAATAGAGGCCTGAGTCATATATTGTATGGCTATCTACATACAGTTTTCCAAATTCACTGTTCAATGTTTGAATTTACTAATCGCTCCAAATCCACTGAATCCAGTAATCTCAGTTTACTGTTTTTATAACAGTTGATGAATAACTAGCTAAATAGGGATTCTTGCAGAAATAAATGGTATTATTGGCATGTTGTATATTGTTTGTTGGAAGGGAGATGGTAATAAGAATGTTTGTAAGATCTAGTCTTGCATCAGTTCCCTTTGTTGCCCCTTTAAGTTGTGTCGAAAGTACTTGTACTTGCATTCCCCTTATTTTATTAGTGAGAGCATAGACTATGGGCAAGACTGACAGTAAACAAAGTCAATTTCATAAGGTTAATTGTGTATCACAACTTGAGTTGTTTTGCTTCACAGGTACTGGCCATGGAGCTGGTTGGGTGTATCCGATCTCCCATCTACTGGAGCAGAACATTATGGAGGTCACACAGTGCAATGTTCCTGTCAAATCAGCCGCCGACTTCTTCAGAAGTATGTGTGCTCCAAATGCACTCCAGATCTACTTTAATCCATTTGGTAAGTATAATGTCTGTTTATGGATTCCAATTAGAATGGCTGTTTGTGTATGTCACCTGTTTGTTGGACAAAGAGAAGACTGTCTATTAACTTTAGATATATTTGTATCTTTAGGTGCTAACCCAGCTAGTGTATGTAACCTGTGTGTTGGCCAAGGAGAAGACTATTGCTCAACTAATGACCCATTTGCTGGGTATCAGGGAGCTTTTGAATGTGTCTCCAGTGGCGCTGGAGATATTGCATTTTTGAGGGAGAATACTATTGAGCAGATGACAAAGAATTCTAGTGGAAACGTCAACCCTTCGGTATGTTGACATCTCTTTATATTTGAATACATCCTATTACACCAGTGATTAGTTTTCAAATTTATATAAAAAGGGTCAGCTTTTTGTACTACATTCATTTATTTTATCTTTTATGTTTTGTAGGACTTTGACCTTCTCTGCCCCAATAACTTAGGCCAGACAGGAAGCCGCATGGGCTGGGAGAATTACAAGACGTGTAACTGGGGTATGGTACCAGGTAATATCGTCATGACATCAGCATTCAGGTCAGCAACCACGCGGGATGAGTACAAGAAACTAATGGAGGAACTTTCTGCTGTGTTTGGAGCTACCGGCCCATATAAAAACCTATTTGACATGTTCCAGTCTGCTCCCTGGGGAGGCTACAATCTGCTATTCAGTGATGATGTCTTGGAGCTTATAGATGTAGGAGAGAAAGATAATTACGATAAATGGGTCGGTAAGTGAACACATTACCATTATTCACAAGTACATTTATCTATTGTATTTCGGTTATTATTAGTAAGATCACGAAATCAGAATGAAAGAGTATACAGCTTTATTCAGTTTTTGTCTGTAAATGATTGTAAATACAATAGATAAGATTTAATAATATGAGCAAGTAACATAACTTGTGTTTCATGCAGTATCATAACTAATTTTTAATCACATTTAGAGTGCTATAGTTGTCTTCTTGTGCTTCTGGGAATATAAGTGTCTGTTTGGATGGTTGGGCAGTGGCTTAGGCGCCACATAAATCTTGGCATCAAAATTTCAGGAAAATGCTTATACCCACTAAACTTTGCATCCTTGTTTAACATTGAAACAGTTGCAAAATTCCTCAAAACAATGGGGAAACAGCCCTTGTCTACTTGTAACTAAAACGCTGATACATGTTCTTACCTTGAGTGTTATTGTTCTTTACAGGTGATGAATACAGGGAGAAACTGGAGGTGCTTGCCAAGTGTGACATCAGAACAGCTAGATGGTGTGTTATCTCAACACATGAAATGAGGAAATGCGAATCCATGATTCAAGCTTTCTCTGCTAAAAACCTCAAACCAGTGTTGGATTGTATATTAGGTAAGATGTTGTGGTAAAATGAATAAACATAATTAATAATATAATTATTAAGTTTATTTTGACAATGGGATATGGCTAGTTCAGTTTGTATACAAGCTTTATTCTGTTCATATTTCCGATAAAAGGACTTCACTAAAAACTGTATGGATCCATAAGTGAATGAAACTTAATTCCTGTAAATCAGAATGTGATACTGTTAATTTGTATAACTTATGAATGCAGGACAAAAATCACAAATCACAAATAACACATGCCTTGTGTTTTATAGGTATCAGTACTGATGATTGTATGCAGAAGATCAGCCAGGGAGATGCCGATTTGATGACACTGGATGCTGGAGACATCTATAAGGGTGGAAAGTAAGCCACACTATATATTATACAAAGTCCAACCAAAAAGTGGCACTATGATAACGTTAGACATGTATCTATATATATTTTGCATTGATTGGGAGTGACACATCCATTTAGGTTTTGAATTTGGATTGTGTCTGGATTTGAGATGCCTCTTCAAAATGAAGTTACATGGAGCTGGGGATATTGTACTGAATATTAAAAAGGGGTCATGTCAATAAATGTCCATCCACCAAAATTGTCATTTATATAACCAGAGTCCTCTTCCAAAAATGCAACCTTCACTGTTGATAAACCTCAGGATGCAATTAAAGCTGTCAGCACACCTATTTTATTTATCTGACCCTTTGACATTTTTTCAGAGATTACAACCTGGTTCCTATAGCAGCAGAAGATTACAGTGGTTACAGTACAGCCAAGTACTACTCTGTAGCTGTTGCTAGGAAACGCGACTCTCACCTCACCATCTTCAACTTGAAGGGACGTAGAGCATGTACTGCTGGGGCTGGTACCGCCTCAGGCTGGTTGGTACCAGTTGATACACTAGTTGAGACCAATCAGATTAGAATCTTGAACTGCGACACTGCCTATGCTGTTGGTAAGGATACAGTATTGCATCATGCCTTTACTTACTGCTTTATGGGATCTTTCTTAACCCTTTCAGGACAATAGGCTCCATATTGAGCCCTATTATGCAATACCTTTCAGGGCGATAGGCTCCTTTTGGCACCATTATTTTTATTTATATACATCAATGAAATGACAATATATCCAGTTCTATTCAGTATTTTTACACCAAATTTTGACAAGTTGTTCTTATGTGATAATCCTTACTACAAATTGTATTTCAGTGATAAAATTCAAGGAAAGGGTTAATAGTTTGTACCTTACATATGGTTATGCGGCTGCCTCACATTTTGTGTGGCCTCAAACTTATTAATGAACCCAGCATTTGCTGGAGAGACATTGGGAATTGCGAATCTGTGTTCTGTTCTGATTTTCAGATATATTTCGTCTCAATAAGTTAATACGACATGCACATTAGATAAAAAAGCATATAAAATGAATACAATTGTGTAGTGAGTCCTGGAGGAAAAGAAGATGATGCTCAAGATTAGATATTATTTACCCAATATAAAAACTTCCTAATACACTACCCTCATAATATCCACGTTCATTTCTAGGCGAGTTCTTCAGTAAGGCGTGTATTCCTGGCGTATTAGACACAGCGTACAACACTAAGGATCGCAACCCTATCAACCTGTGTGAGGTATGTGCCTCAGGGGGACAGGATAAATGTAGACGCAACAGTGATGAGCTCTACTTTGGAGGGAGTGGAGCTTTCAGGTGTCTAACTGAGGGTAGGTTTTAATCTTATTGGTGTAGTCTGAGTACTATATTTATAGCAATGATCTGCTCAGTATTCACAACTGGATGCTGCATTCATTTGACAATTGTAGGATTGCTTTACCTTTGATTGCATTGGACCAGTTTAGAATTTTTAAATTTTTGGAAAAGCGATTGGAATGTTGAATGATTTGATTGAACATGATAGATGTATAAAGATAGATGAGGTATATTTGATAGAAATAATCACGAAGACTTGAAGAACATATACACTTTATCACCACCATGTAGCAGAAGTCAATAAAATATGACACATTGTTTACTGATTTTATGAGCAGTAACAGACATCACTTTTGAAGTCTGTAACAACTTGTTATTACTATTTTGTAGCTATCTGTACGTGTATTTCTTATAATACTTACCAGACAGTGACACTTTCTACTTATTCCTTGTTTTATAAGATATTTAATATCCATGCTATATTGTTGTTATAGATGGTGGTGATGTAGCATTTATTAAACATTTCTCCGTGCGTGAGAACACAGATGGACGAAATCAGGCCGAATGGGCCCGAAATAGAAGATCAGATGATTATGAACTGATGTGTAAGGATGGCAAACGTAAAGCAATTGATGATTGGGCAGATTGTAATCTGGGAGAGGTACCAAGTAATGCAGTCGTTACAGCACGTAAGTCTACATGCTTTGCCTCTTGATAAAACAACATTCCTCTCATACTGCTCCCATGATGTATATTTCAAATTAAACATGTCATCTATCCTTGTCTACATTACAAAAGCAATGATATAGTTCAAATTCCTAATTTCATTGTTGTAACCAACAAATTATCACAAATAGAGAACAATAGACTTAGAAATTCTTAAATTTACAAAAAGTATTTGGTACTGGCATTTGAAAATACTTTGATACATTTCTTGCATTTTATGCTTTCAGACTTTAAGACCACAAAAGAAAAGAAGATCTACTGGAATCTTCTTAACTATGCACAGCAATTCTTTGCATCAGATAGGTAAGTTGAATCTACCTCACTTTCATACAAGTTGAATCTACCTCACTTTCATACAAGTTGAATCTACCTCACTTTCATACAGCTTGAATCTACCTCACTTTCATACAAGTTGAATCTACCTCACTTTCATACAGCTTGAATCTACCTCACTTTCATACAAGTTGAATCTACCTTACTTTCATACAAGTTGAATCTACCTCACTTTCATACAAGTTGAATCTACCTCACTTTCATACAAGTTGAATCTACCTCACTTTCATACAAGTTGAATCTACCTCACTTTCATACAAGTTGAATCCACCTCACTTTCATACAAGTTGAATCTACCTCACTTTCATACAAGTTGAATCTACCTCACTTTCATATAAGTTGAATCTACCTCATTTTCAAACAAGTTGAATCTACCTCATTTTCATACAAGTTGAATCTACCTCAATTTCATACAAGTTGAATCTACCTGTTTCAATGCATTGACTTGTACTCCTTCTTCTTTACTAAATTGTCATATTTATTAATATATTTGCTGCTATAGGAACAAATACAAGTAAGCATGTTGAAATTTAATTGATGGCTGTTGTGATATAATTATGTTGTAAAGATGTTTATCTATCAAATAATTTAGAATTTATTAAGGCAAGTACTGTATATAATACATTAAGCTACAAAGATATTGTGTTATGTGTTGCAAGGCTATGAATCTCTTTTCATAAGGCTTTCAATGTTCGTGTCTCTGAAAGGCATTTTACTTGTCTTGCTAAGACTTCACTAGAACTAATCTATTACTGTCAACATAATGTCATCATGTGAATGTGTAAATGTCTACATTATTGATTTGTAAATATTTCTGATAGTTTTGACTTCTAAAGCATTCTTCCAATGGTACTGTGGTACAACTGTTTGAATTTATAGAACAATTGATATAATGACTAAGCTTGGAGGAAATGTAAAATGTCACTCGACTTTTTGGTGATTTTGAAGTCATGTCTGCACTTCAGAGTTCAAAATCAACTTCTGTAGTACTTTGACACCACCTTGTAATTTGCCTCACTGACATTTGTTTCTCTAACATATTCTCTCAAAATCAGGAAATTAGGGTGATGAGCGGGCAAATATTGTAGGGAATTTCAGTCACAAAAAATAATGAGTGACAACTTAAACTGCAACCGAGTGTAGTCATTTCCATTCACTGTATTTTCAATCATCTTAATTTTTACATGATTCACTTTACTACATGTTTGTTTTATCTGTTTTCAGTAATCCAGACTTTGCTATGTTTGACTCATATAAGGACTATAAGGACCTAATATTCCAAGACGCCACTGTGAGGCTAATAGAAATAGAGCCTGAAATGCAAGAATATAAAAATTACCTAGGAAGTGTGTTCACACGTGGAATGGAGCGTCTTCAGTGGTATAATTGCCAGAGTGCAGCATCAGTGACTGTTACATCACATATGTTCACCTTAGTAACACTTATTGTAACCATGGCAATGTTCTTGTAGTCGTAGCAACATTTAAAGCTTAAACATTGCCATACGATAGGAGTATTTGTATATATTTTTGTATCATAGAATTTTTTTAATTCCATATTATACATTCCATGATCCTCACTCGGCTATTTGAATAGATTGATTGATTTGTATATATTATGATAGTACTCAGAAGTGCTACCATAAAAGCTATATTTATTAGAGCATCAATTACTACAATTCTGAATGAACATTCACAGACATATTTTGTAAATATAATTAAAAATCATGTTAATTAACAGAAGTAACAATATTGTATAACAGACTTTTAAATGTTTTAAGATTGGTTTTACTTGCAATTGCAATAATAATGATAATATCGAATCATTCCAGGTTTCAATATTGAAATCTTTCCAGGCAGAAAAGTTATGACATGTAAATATGTGTATCAAACTTTTTTTAATCAAATATACATGAACATATTCCAGACGTATGTTATAACATATGTTTAGTAGTTAATTTTAATATTTTACCAATACATGTAGTATGATTTTGCAGTATAGGGAGGTATATACCTGTTAGATGTATGTAAGGTAGGCATTCACCATCCACCTAAATAGGTGTACAAAATCCATTCTTCCTCAGGGGTCCATATTTGGAACTGTTGTAACTTTTCGGAAATATTATTTTTCGTCAAAATACTTATGGTTTTCTTGGAATCATAAGTTATGATCGTACCAAAAATGACCATTGGGTTTAGAAGGTATTCTGGATCTTGAGATCCTGCGCTAATGGAGGATGGGGATTCCCAGTATATACAGCTATTATACAGGTATTATGCAATTATAGTTTTTTATGAGACAATATTCTGTTTTAGGTGATGTAATATTGTACATGATAAAATGGAGATTTTGTAATTTGATCATGCATTTATGAAAGTATATTATTAAAAAGTAGGTATTGTGTCATAGAAAGATCTATGGGTTAATTGAATGGACTCAGGCAAATAAATGAGACACGTCTTTAATGTTTTAAATATTTCATCAATAGTATTTGTTTTAATTGTACAATATACATTACATTATATTTCAAAACGATAAACCATTGTATCAGCGTGATAGATGCTTTAAACTTCTTTTTATGTGACATTGTCATTATTTGAGGTTAACTACTATAAATAGTAGGTGAGTGTATAGATTACAAATTAACTAGAAATTACTTTAATATGAAATTATCTGTATAATATTAACTATACTGTACATTTATATTTGGTACAAAAGAATTCTGTACAAAGATATTTTGTATAAAATTAACGATGATTTTTTATAAAATATACAAGTAAGTAACAAATACAAACAAATGTGTTATGTTGACTTTTTGTTGTGTTACCAAATAAAGTTGTCTTCACCACAAAAAAGGCTTCATCCAGTTACAATAATTTGACAGAATGTATTATATCTATCTTGTTTAATCAGGTTAGTGCTAAGATTATAAGAGAGGTCTATGAAATGGTGACATTTTTTTTCATTTATTGTTAAAAACCAGGCTGAGCATTCTGTTACATTGAATAGCTTCTTCTAGCGCAATAGACGTTTCCGATAAATCGTGCCCTCTTTTGATCTATTCAAATATACTTATTTTTTAGTATGATTATCTGCAGCAACATTTGACATAAATCAGTTTCCAAAAGACGGCAGAGTTTCTTGATATTTTCTGTCTCGATTTGTGTGTTACTTGAAATTCACAAATAAACATTTTTGGTTCATTCTAGAAAAAATTTTTATTTTAAATAATTTTTTTTAATACATTTACTATTACATACAAAACAATAAAGGGATGCAATAACAAATAATATAATATAAAATATGGTATACAGAGTGTCTCAAAATAAATTGTACAAGCCTAACATGAGTGATGAAGGAATGTTCTTCAAATCATTTTAGAGCTAAAAGCTTGTTTTAGTACCACTACCCATTTTTTATTGTATTCAGATTCTAAACAATTTAATTGTCATAAGTGTCTGAAATTTTCACCAGGTAATTCAATTTAGTTATAGAGAAAAAAATTCTAATTAGTTTTAGTGAAATTTTTTTAGCACCATCACCCATCAGAATTGCATTCAATGGATGGAAGTAAGTTATTTAGACCACAAAAAATATCCAAAGTAAGTAGTTTAAATTTTTAACTGATATTTGGAAAATGAATTCTCTTTATCATAGGCAAAGTTCAATGTAGGAAAAAAGTACAATTTCTTTTGGGACACCCGGTACTCTGTTGGATGGCATCATCATACTGTTCTCATATATCAATACAAACACCTGACTGTACTTATGTAATCTACAGATCATACACTACTAATCTGCACAATAAAATCACGGTACCGTTCGGTACATTAAGAGTATTGTACCATACGGTACTGTTGGAGTATGGTGTCATACAGTCTTCACGGTACCGTACAGTACCATTTTAGTCTATGATACGGTATGGTACCATATTAGTCTATGGTACTGTACAGTACCATATTTCCGTACGGTACCATTGCCAAAGCGGTACCATACGGTACTGTTGCAGATTGGCTGAGTATGTATGTGTGTAATGTACAGATCACAAATAGTAATACAATCTGCAAATCTCATGTACTTATGTAATCTATAGATTACATGTACTTTATATGTAATTTACAGTCAGATCACATGGACTTGCATAATTTACAGAACACATGTACCTACATAATTTACAGAACACATGTACCTGCGTAAATTACAGAACACATGTAGTTGTGTAATCTACAAAACACATGTATATTTGTAATTTACTGATCGTTCTACAGACCACATGAAAACAATTTAAATCTATCAATAAAATCAACTTGTGGACTTGTGCAATATTGTACATAACATGGAATGTTGCAGCTTGTTGCTACCACTCATAAAACAAATTAAAACATAGGATCTGAATTCTTCTGATAAACTGATAATGTTTTTCCTTAAAAGGACTCAATGCCCGACTCGCATTCTTAAATACACAAAATTAAAAAGAAGTACCCATAGCATACACTGTATGCTTAGTAAACATTAATACAAGCATACGTTTCGTACAATATACTAGTATAGTAACAGTTTGAAAAGAATTAGTGTGTGTAGCGCGTGTGACCTGATCATCGTTTCAGTTTCACCAAAAACAGAAAGTACAGAAATATTTATAATAGAATAAAACTAGTTTGCTCTTTATGACAATACATGGAGCAAGGCAGATTACTGCACCACCTATAGGCCAAGTACATGAAACATTTATTCAGGACTTGCATGTAATATTAATGCAACTTCAAATGTGATGAGGCATAAAACAAAGGCACTGAATGATGTAAAATTGACATCTATCAATGTAACAGGTTATTGATACTACGATCCAAATCTTTGTACTTTTCAGGCAGTTTCTTAGCTTCTAGGCTATGTACTGGTAATGATATTGCACTCTTTGTTGTATTATGTAATGTGCTAGTTGGACGTGGAGGGAGATCATCTATATCTCTCCGCAACATGTTTCCTTCAGTTTGAGGCCGGAATGTGTCGGAGGATCCCTTAAGCCTTTCGGGACTATGTAGACTTATAGGACTGGTGTTTGAATGTCTTCTAAGGTTCGGTGAATGTGCTCTAGGACTTGCTGAATGTGTCTTATTACTGCCTGTTGAAAGTGTCATGGGACTTGGAGAATGTGTCATATTAGGGCCTGGTGAAAGTGCCTTAGGAGTTGTTGTTGATTGTGTCCTAGAGTTTTGCTTAGTTGTATCTTCAAACTCAATGTTCGCCGGCTCTAATGGTGATTTACTTTTCTTCTTTTTTTTCTTTTTCTTTATGTTTGTGCCGTCATTTGAGCTTGGCTCCAATCTGCTGCAAAGACACATTAACATTAAATATTAGTCATATTACTGCACCTTTTAATATAACAACCTTAAAGATGCAGTATACTATAGATTTCTGTCCCGGATAATCAATGACATCACATTATTATTGCTTACATAATATCCCATATACCTTGGATATATCTTGAGACAAAATGGGAATATTATTGCCGATATTTTGAAATAATCGACAGAACAACCAACCGCTAGAATTGAACACAATTGATTCCGCAGCCATCGCAGGGAATTCCCATTACTTGACAAGTGCCAACACGCACCTTGAACCGGGCAGCCAATCAGGTTCATGATAAACAAATGTAAAAACCAACTAGATAACAGATGATTTAACCAGTTTATTTAGATAACTTCAGATTCAATTAATTTTGACGAAAATAATTCGACCAGTCAGTACAATAGCATAATTAGCACATATAGCGGCAAAAGGGACTTCCTTGTTGGTACGTGCAAAGGTGAATATGTGGTACGAATCAACATGCAAAAAAATATATAAAAAATATGGGTCTCGATTGCGCTTTTCTATCCCAACTTCCCTCTTTAATAGTCTAGAATGTCGTTCTCATGTCTTCTTTGGTTAGCTGTGTTTTTTGGAAGAGATAATTGTTTGTTCCAATATGAATACATACCTATCAGTTGGCAAATCGCCTAGGAAATGGTCCCAAGATGGTGGGGTAGGAGTGCGGTTGATACCGACTTTCTCATTGCGTAGCCTGGTCACAGATTGTGGGGGGCCTCCACCTGAGGGGAACAAGACGGTGAGTGATAAACATTGTGATTAACAAAAAAGGTCTGGATTTTTATATTGCAAAGCATCCTTGAAGTCTTGTTTATTAAAGATATTGGGATAACCTATAATGTCACAACTCAACAAAAATTGAAAATGGTTGTGTTGTAATTTACTCATCATGCTCCACAAGTAACTGGATCTATATTTTAATAAGTCCATGTAGTAATAGTTTATTGGTCTCTTGAAAGCAATTAAGTTACATCAAGATAAGTCCAATAAAGTGAACATTTAATAGCCAATCAAATGACAAAAATAAAATGATATAACTGATGAGCATGACAATTAACTGTAAAATGCACTGGCTAGAATAAAAAAAGATGCAAGAAAAGGTCGAAATTAATCACCCAGTATGTATACCTACAAAGCACTTACTTATTCTGGGTTTTGGTCCTTTCAAGGGAGCCAATTGAGGAGGGGTACTGGGTTTTACATCCAATCCACTACAGGTGAGATTTGTCCTAGGAAATAAAGTCCCCCCATCTTCACTCAATGATGAAGTGTGAGACTTGAGTCCTCTACCTGCTCCTGCAGGGTCACTACTAGACAAAGTCTAAAACAGACAATTGTAAAATGTAAAAATGTGGACTTTTTGAAAGTAAAAATAAGCAATCTTTGAATGTGAAAATAATACATGTACATTTTCAATATTTTCTGTAAATACATGCATTATGTAAGTATAGAATGTAATCTTTCAATATGAGGAAGTAAAAGGTATAGAGATGAGTTGTGAGAAATTTACGAAAAGATTGTCCAAATTGATGATTTTTTTAATCTCATAATTTCATGTAATGCCTTTTTGTAAAAAGTCCAACAATTTTGACTTAATTTTCAGGTTTTGAAAAACTGGACATCCCCAATTTTATTAAAGGACATTCCCGAATCTTAAATCTTTTCGATACATGTAATTTCTATATTTGATCAGATTATTTATTAAGAAAATAAAATTAGTATTTTAAGGGAAACATTGGCATTGCTTGGGATGTTATACACTCAATCTCTATCCCTTCTCCCTCCTTAAAATTAGGCAATCATCGCGAAAAACTGAAAATTTCATCAACTGAAACCAGGCAATTATATAATGTTATATATACAGCTGTTTATTTTTAATACGGCATTGAGAGATATTTCAATAATTTGAAATAAACAATTTATTATTTTTGTAGACAGACCTAATGTAGTTCAGGAAATTGTAAATGTAAAAACATGAACTCTTTGAAAGTGAAAATAAGCAATTTTAAAATGTGAAAATAATACATGTACATTTGCAATATTTTCTGTAAAAGCATGCAATTAATTTAAACAAAATTACTCTAAATGAGACTAAGTATGAGCTCGGATAAATAGTGTAAATTATCAGTATGGACTCAACCCCATAAAATATAGACATTAGATCAAGTAGGCAGTTTTCACTTGTCCAAAAATTGTGAACGGATAAACAAGTAATATAAGCAATATCATAAGATCACCTTGTGAGCCAAAAGTGTATTTTTACTTATTGAAAACTCGTGCATTTAACAAAATTGTATTTGTAGTTTGAAATAACAAATTTTTGTGCAATTTCAAACAATTATAAAAAGAGATCCTCACATTTAGAGACCATGCATTTATTTTCATAAGTTGCAATGAGACAATGTTTTACCATTATCATTTTAGCTGGCCAAGAATTGTTGAAACATTCACAATAAGCCAAGTGAAAAAAGAATACTTCTTTGAAACATTGGGCGTTGTATCTTGAACTACTTTTTGGTCACTCCTCGTACATAAGGCCATTTTATAATATAGTCAATGAATAAATGACCCATGAAGGCAATGATAAAATATACCATATTCTCTCTAATGAATGCACAGTTCCAATTACCACACATGTGTCTTTTATGATGAATATGGTCTCAAGAAAACAAGAAGTTTAATGCATTAGACTCAATATCTTACCCTCTTAAATTTCAATTTTGGAAGTACAGGGTGTCCCGAAAGTATGCCCCCCCCCTAGGCAAACATATTCCACTGTCCTCATAGTATGTGTCATATATCATTTTAAAGCTTATCCAAAGTTACATTGATTTGCCAAGTATCATGGTTTACTTCCCAAATGGGAAAAAAACATTTTAAAAGTTAGTGTTTTGTCAAAATAAAGTTCAATTTTACACCACATTACTAGTCAATGAGTCCCCCCTTTGCCATGTTAACAGCAGCAATTATTTTCAGTTATGACCTTAAAAGCCATTCAAATAGGGGTGTGGAATTTTATAACCCTCTTAAAACCTGTTTAGGGACTTTAGAAGAGTTTCCTAGAGTTTCTACCCTCACTGTTCTCTTTTTCCAACTCAATATCCATCTGACCAGAAAAGAATTGCTGCTGTTAAGATGGCCCGGGAGGACACATTGACTATTGATTTTGTGGAAAATTGAACTTAATTTTGACCAAACACTAAATTTTGAAATGCCTGTAATTTTTTCACATTTGAGAGTTGAACCATGATACTTGGCGAATCAATGTAACTTTGGATAAGCTTTAAAATGATATATGACACATACTATGACAACACTGGTATATGCCTGCCTAGGGGGGCCCCATACTTTCGGGACACCCTGTACACTGTGTTCATTAGAGAGAATTTGGTAATACAATTTCCATGTCCAAATTCTTGAATGCTAAAAACAAAAATTACACCCACTGAAACTCTATTAAACACGAGTAAGTATGCGAGTGTGAGTGCAAAACAGTTCGAAAAGCCAAATGCGTAGCTGAGAGTAAAATGAAAAGTGCATGTTCAATAAATGTCTACTTGCATCAGAAACATAATCACTGTCATAAGACACCGTGTCATTTTCAAGGAGGGCAATTACAACCTACGTATATAGACATACATACATAAATTAACATTATTATATAATCATAGTTGTTTCCTCCTTGTTATATAAAGTAGGAAAACCTATTTTCGCTAACGAACTAGGATGCAAGTTACAACTAAAGGAATTTACTAATATATAAGCAAATTAATTTCAAACGGGATAACAGATTATAAATCATAGTCTTTGAATCCCCTAGTTAGTACTATCTTGGCCTATTTAAATAAAAATGTTATTCTAAACCTCACTAACCCAAAAATATTTTTATTCATATTGAATTCTAACTTATACACAGTTAATAGATTTGGACAAAAATCTTCTTTTCTGAAAATATTAATGTTTGAAAAAATTCTCAAAAAAGTTCCATTGAAAAAATACAATTTGAGAAGCCAATCAGAATCAATTCATTATCTATATGAACATTATTAAGGTTCTGTGTTTAAATTTATATAATATATGTGTTATTTTATGACTTATTACTTTTTCAAATATGACAGTTCACTGTTCTTAAATTGAGTTGCCATGGAAACAGGCGATTTAAATATTGTCCCTGACAACTGTTCCAAAAATCCACATTTTCACATAAAGCATATACAAACTAAGAGATTAAGGTATGACAGGTCCTTATGTACTTGAGCCTACTTAAACTATGTATGCTGGATGGTTCACACTTACTATATTACATAAAAAACCTTCAGATTAGCAAATATCTCTTTAATATAAGCAAAGTGTGTATGTACTCACATGAGATGACTGTATGGGGCTCAGAGACCTTGCAGTGCCAGGTGGGGTCCTTCGAAAGTCATTTCCAGTCTGAAGTGCAATTATTTCCTCCGCCTGAACAGGAAGTGTTTTTGTCTTCTCCCGGGGGGTTCTCACCCTGGGGAGTGGAGACAGTCTATGTTTGTTTTGACTAGATGAGTTACTATGGTTACCATTTTGATTCATATTTACGCCACTTGATCCTTCTGCAGTGTTAACTGTTAAAACTTTACTATTGCGTCTATTGCTGTAATCATGTTTGATTCTCTCATGAACCTCGGGCGAATGATCGCTAATTGAACTCTCATTATAAGTCTCTTGACTAGCATCAGATAGTTCGTGGATGTTATTACATTCTTTTGATGTTTTTTTGCCCTTGAAGAATTCTACTATGAAACCAAGTGGATTTTTACGAGTCTTACTGCTACTGTCATTTTGATTGGTTGACTTGTCCACAGTGGTTCGTTCCATTAGCTGGTCTAAACGATCCTCTAAGAGTTGTATACATTCTGAAATACATTCATTTGTAAGTCAGAAACTGTAATATAATACTGTATCATAATGAAGAGGATATCCAATAGCCTGTGACATTTCACAAGGTGAATGAGATATATTAATATAGAAAGTATCAGTTACATACCACATTATAAGATGCATTATTATTAAGCAACAACATATGACGTATTTACAAAATTGCATAACTAGCAGAAATTAGTTTGAAACTAGAACGTGACTTCTACATGTTCCACCAATCGGCAGTGATTCAAACTACATTTTTGCAATATTTATGTCTGAGATGAAGATGGTATCAAAATCTCTAAATATGGACATCTTCTGCTACGAATAATATCAGCCATTGCCAGCGGCTTACTGTCTATGCATCCTACAACAATCATAAGAAAGCCTCCACCTGTACCATGATGTGGTGACACAATTGCGAGTTTTCATGCAATTTTCAAGTGGAAGACACTTTCGTATGTTTCAAACAAAAGTTTTATTTAACATTTTATATGCTTGATTTGGTCAGAATTTCAAAGTCCAAACTCCAAGTTTGAAACCTTCGATTCACATCCACTATTTTTAAACATGTGGTAAAGGCTGTCAATATATCAGAAAACTGACCCGTGAAACTGATACTCATGAATTTGTATAATAATAGCAATTTACAATCTGTGAACCAATCAGATTTGTATATATATATAAGTTACATATCAGTGTATGCTGGTTTACATGTATGTATAAGTGTAAATATATGCACCAATGACTTATTCAGACAAGGCATTAGCATGCCAAATGTCATCACCTGCCATTTGTTACAGACACCAAACCATGAATGCCAACTGCCAGAATCTGAAAGCCATCACAAAATAGTTGAAGACCATAGCAATGAAGTATAGATATACATACATAATTGAATTTCTTATGGCTGACTGAAGAATTTATATTAAACATAATATCATTAAATCACCACTTGTGTGGTGACCTAAATAAAAAACGTAACAACATTTTTTAAAGCTGAAATATTGTTATTTATTCATATGAAGTGTAATAGCATGAGAACCCTTTTCATATAAAACATACATCAGATCTTATATTTGACTGAAGTATAAATATGAAGCATGTAAGATTGATTAAAGTTTCCACAAAAAGCGTTAGAACCAATTGAAGTATTCATATAAAGCGTAATAACATTAGATTCTATAACCAAATGAAGTATTCATATAAAGCGTAATAACATTAGATTCTATAACCAAATGAAGTATTCATATAAAGCGTAATAACATTAGATTCTATAACCAAATGAAGTATTCATATAAAGCGCAATAGCATTAGATTATATAACCAAATGAAGTATTCATATAAAGCGTAATAGCATTAGATTCTATAACCAAATGAAGTATTCATATAAAGCGTAATAACATTAGATTCTATAACCAAATGAAGTATTCATATAAAGCGTAATAACATTAGATTCTATAACCAAATGAAGTATTCATATAAAGTGTAATAGCATTAGATTCTATAACCAAATGAAGTATTCATATAAAGCGTAATAACATTAGATTCTATAACCAAATGAAGTATTCATATAAAGCGCAATAGCATTAGATTCTATAACCAAATGAAGTATTCATATAAAGCGCAATAGCATTAGATTCTATAACCAAATGAAGTTTTCATATAAAGCGTAAGAACATTCGATTCTATAACCAAATGAAGTTTTCATATAAAGCGTAATAGCATTCGATTCTATAACCAAATGAAGTTTTCATATAAAGCGTAATAACGTTCGATTCTATAACCAAATGAAGTATTCATATAAAGCGTAATAACATTAGATTCTATAACCAAATGAAGTATTCATATAAAGCGTAATAACATTAGATTCTATAACCAAATGAAGTATTCATATAAAGCGCAAAAGCTTTAGATCCTATAACTGACTGAAGTATCTATATGATGTGTAATAGCATTTAATCTTATAGCTGACTGAACTATTCATATATTCTATTTATATAAAGCCTAATAGCATTATATCTTATAGATAATAGAAGTATTTATATAAAGCATAATCGCATCATCTTATAGCTGACGTATTTACAGAAGAAAAATAGAACTACATGTAGATCCTTTAGAAAAATATATAACTAGTTGACATAACAACTCATGTATTTGTTGGCAAATTATAATAATTATAATCTTTAATTAGTATTATATATAAGTATTATATAATATTACATAATCTTACACACTAGCTTACATCATCATCATATAACATTATTTTGCAAAATAAATGACACATCTACTAATGCTTCTTCCTATCACTATTCATTTATCCTTGCTACGTTAAAATGACTTACCTTTCTATATTAGATGTAGCAGTAGCTGAAAAATCAGTGACACTAATATAAAAAGTCTGCTAGGGTCACTAGTATTGAATATCACTAGGTTTGTTCCTGTACAGTTACTTAAAGAACATCTGATAGTCGTATATACCTGACTTACAGCATTTCTTCACAATTGAGAGTTAAAGAGGCCCTATACCATAGGGGTGCACAATTAAGACCTCCTGGACAATAATAAAGGGACATCACTGATTATTTGAGAGAGAAACCTATGGCATACTGTACCTTTAAACGACTGGACCACTTTTCCGTCTTTTGCATCTTAGGTGCAAGAATAAGTTCAACAAAATGTCAACACCTGGTAAATGATTGCAAATGGTTACAAAAGTGTATCAAGGCATTAACATGCAAAATGTCACCACCTGCCATTTGTTAGGGATGCCGAACAATGACCACCAAATGCCAAAAGCCAAATGCTGAACACCCTCCACTTGTGGTGGTGACATGCATAATAATGTGTTACAAACACCAACCACCAAATGCCAGTCACAAACAGAGGCTTATTAACAGAATGTCATCACTTCTTGATGGCGACATAAAAACCAACTGAATCTCAAACATGTGTATGTAATATTGAAATGTAATTGCAAAACATCATCTTGATCTAGTTGTTCTAAGAACTCTAGTCAATTACTACCTATCTTAGCAACCAAGAATTCTAGTTATAAATAATTACACATACATGGATTATAATCTTACTTGATATTCCATGATTTAAGAGAGTCAGTTATTTGAATTCAAACTATCATGACTTTTTAGAAGGGTGCCATTAAAATGTGACTATTTCTATATCCAAGGTTGAATATGACTGAATCAACCTTATGAATCAAGTTGTAGTTAACTCAGTAGGATCAGGTATCTGTTGACGCGAGAACAAATCATATGTTGTCATGGTAACATGTGCGGATGAGAAAAATTAGTTTAAACTTCTTGTTGTTCCACACAACTTGTTACCCACCAATTAAGCATAAAACTTAAAATGATATATAAATACTGTGAACTGATGAAAAACCTAAATGGGACACAACTTAAATCTTAAATCTAATTAGTAAATGACAATAAGTATGTGATATACCAGTAATTAGGGAATTACTACATGTATGGTGACTCATTTTTTTATTTCATTCATTTCTTTAGTATTAAAGAATAATAAACAAGGCATTAACATTCAAAATGTCACCACCTGCCATTTGTTACAAACACTGAACTCTGAATGCCAAATTCCAACCACCATACTCCAAACACCATTCACAAAAATTGGACACTACGACAATTTGTCACCACTTGTGGTGGTGACATAAAAACATAATATCGACAAATATCTTTTGTATAAGGCAAAATATATGTATTGAATATTAATAATTAATTACAGTAACTAAACAAATTCTTTTTTTATATGGATCAGGCCTCACCAGGAAGATGCTAATTGAACCCCAAGGCAAGAAGGGACTATTTCAAATCACTGAAATACTCATTAGGAAGAAAATTGTTTTTTTTTCTGTTTGCAGTTACTTGGAAGCCAAAAAGCAATTTTACTCAAAGTATTGTGAGCTTGTAAATTCAATGAACTTCTGTCATGATGAACGATAATGCTATCTGTATTCATATTGTAAAAAATTTGAACTTTACAAATCTGAAGAATATGGTGTGTGTGTTGAAGACCATTAAAATGTCACAACTTTTGGTGGTGACATAATGTAGGTTGTTATTCACTTTGATACCTTTCTCCAAAATTTGGAGGACCTGACCTAAAGGCCTTCAGAATATAACACTGTGGTGCGAGAAGTCAAGTGGTGTATAAAAATATATACATAAGACAGTCCAAACGTGATGGTTGTTATGGTGATTTCATCTGTGATGCTAAACAACAAATCATGGGCGTCATATTTCAATTAAGTTTTCTTCAAAGTATGTTATATAGCATATATAATAGTCTCAACAGCAGACAAGAATTCTCATTAGATTCTGAGGTTGCCATACCTTTATACTTATAGCCTGAAAGTCAAGAGAAAACCTAATTACATGTTGTATTGTAAAGCTGGAGCAGCTTAGAGTTTCAAAGATGCCCCGGGTAAGTGACAAACAATTTCCTAAAAGGTTTCAATATACAGTTGGTAAAGTCATGAAAGTGTCAGCCTTATGAATTTGATCAGATTGTCTAAGTCTGGTTAAATATCCCTACAGTCATCAAGAGGAAATTTGGGAAACATGCAATTTTTAATTTAACAGCATATTTTGGGGAAATTCTTAAAATCATGAATTCTTATGTTATGAATAGTTATGTTATTACTACAATCTCTTTTTGCATTGTTTTTCTGTTTTCATGAAAAATGTAAAATGTAACTCAATCTTATAAGCCATGCATGCACATACCTCTTATGTGGGAATCATTTCAACCTAAAGCAAACGTTCTTGAGGTATTCCTCTTTCTAATGGTATATTGAAACCCTTGGGCAAAATGTGTTCATCATTTATACCCAGCTGCTCAACTAGAATTGTTCACTCCGACTCCTCAATGTCTATACTCTGACAAATGTCTGTGTTTAAGTATCATAATTCTGATACTGATACTAATGGTTTCAAATGGAATTTTCAAGAGTTGTTATCGTATTTTGAATGAAAAATGAATGATAGAAATGAATGTCATGATTTCCTGCTATATATGAGTATAGTCTAAATCAAATTAGTAGATAAATCAAGCAAGGCAATTAAGGTGAATTAAAAGAAGGTAATCCTTTATAACTTTAAATAATCATTCCACAAAACCTATTGACAGTTTAAATTGATGAAATAATGGTTCAAGCCCGGGGTTCAAGATCCACTTACATGAATTTCTGATCGCAGAACAAATGCATGCACAATGCACATTAATATCCATATCCATGTCCTTGTGAACATTAAATTAAATCACAAAGACCCTGATCTGATTCAAGATCAGACGCATAGGATACATGCATATTCCTGCATACCCTACAAAAGTAATTCTGTATGGATCATAATATGGCAAGTTCAAGATTCACTTACATGCATTTCTTACACATACCCTAACAAAATGATTCTGTGTGGACCATAATATGACAAGTTCAAGATTCACTTTCATCCATATTCCTACACATACCCTACAAAAGTAATTCTGTATGGATCATAATACGGCAAGTTTAAGATTCACTTACATGCATTTCTTACACATACCCTAACAAAATGATTCTGTGTGGACCATAATATGACAAGTCCAAGATTCACTTACATGCATATTTCTACACATAGCCAATGAGATTGATTCTGTGTGGACCATAATATGAGAAGTTCAAGATTCACTTACATTCATATTCCTACACTTAGCCAATGAGATTAATTCTGGGTGGACCATAATATGAGAAGTTCAAGATTTACTTTCATCCATATTCCTATATATACCATACAAAAAAGATTCTGTATGACCATAATATGACAAGTTCAAGATTCACTTACATGCGTTTCTTACACATACCCTAACAAAATGATTCTGTGTGGACCATAATATGACAAGTTCAAGATTCACTTACATGCATATTCCTACACTTAGCCAATGAGATTGATTCTGTGTGGACCATAATATGAGAAGTTCAAGATTTACTTTCATCCATATTCCTATATATACCATACAAAAAAGATTCTGTATGACCATAATATGACAAGTTCAAGATTCATTTACATGCATTTCTTACACATACCCTAACAAAATGATTCTGTATGACCATAATATAGCAAGTTCAAGATTCATATATGCTATGCTAGTGATTCCGTGTGACCATAATATGGACACATAAGATTCACTTACATTCATATTCCTACATACTATGCTATGCGAGTGATTCTGTGTGACCATCATATGACAAATTCAAGATACACTTACATTCATATTCCTACACATATGCTATGCGAGTGATTCTGTGTGACCATCATATGACAAATTCAAGATGCACTTACAGTAAAACTTGTGTATAGTGAACGTTTTTTTGCCAAGAAAAAACGTTCACTGTAGGTAGGTGTTCACTAGAGAGAGGGTAATTTATAAAGAAGTCAGTGGACTATGTGCGTAGGAAGGGTGTCCACTAGGGACAGGTGTTCACTAGAGAGAGGTGTTCACTAAGACAGGTTTTACTGTACATTCATATTCCTACACATATGCTATGCGAGTGATTCTGTGTGACCATAATATGACAAGTTCAAGATTCACTTACACACATATTCCTAAACATACCCTACACAGGTGATTCTGTGTGGACCATAATATGACATCTTCAAGATTCATTACATGCATATTCCTAAACATACCCTACAAAAGTGATTCTGTGTGACCATAATATGACAAGTTCAAGATTCATTACATGAATATTCCTACACATACCCTACAAAAGTGATTCTGTGTGACCATAATATGACAAGTTCAAGATTCATTTACATTCATATTCCTACACATATGCCATGGGAGTGATTCTGTGTGAGCATAAAATGACAAGTTCAAGGTTCTTTTATATTCCTACCAAGTTAGCTATATATGAAGGAGTGTATGAATCACATGCTACCAGTGAGTGCAGTGCAGCATGCATTAACCAACCTAGTGGCAAAAATAGAGACATGCAATGGTCTACAGCCACAAATGGCTCGATCCATGTTATATTTATTTGAAATTGCTTCAAGCGATATTTCATTATTTGGGCATTTACAATCAACTGTGTTCAACTAAGTATGGCATGATACAATGTAACAGCATAGTAATGTAACCATGGCCAAAGTGTATAATCATACCACTTTAATAATTTCACCTCAAATTTATTGATTAAATTATTTATTTCCAAAGTATCTAGCATTACACTTAGTCAAACACAGTGGTAAACAATGTCCAAAGCTTCACAGCTACAATTATCTGAAGTGCAGATAACAAAAAAATGGTGAAAATCATGTCTCTGCCAGCCCTGTGCAAACTACATGTAACAGTCATGCCAACAGTATACTTACTTTGTTGATCTGCATCACACACTAAAGAACAAAAAAGATAACTCATCTATAAAATGTCTCAATTTAAAACAAAGATGGCACACTAAGCTAATCATACTTGAGATGAAATAATAACAAAACAAAGAAAACAAAATGTATTGCACTGCAGGATCTCTACATGTATATCAAGAGAATTTAGGGGATTAGTACAAAACATGGCACGGTACCATGGCACACCCTATGGCATAGGCTATGGCACCCCTGTGCAATGTTTTGTACTAATGTGAATTTAGGTTCATTCCGTGTCACAAAAGTAGAGTTTTAAGCTCAAAGACCAACTCGATGAAAACAAAGCATTGAAATGACAAAATGTCACCTCCTGCTAAATTATTGCTTTGTTCAAAAAGTGTAACAATTTGTTAAAGATGCCAAATGCCAAAAATGGACACAATTGCCGAATGCAGGTCACAAAAGAATTGGCTATAACATTGACATTTAGTCACTTTTGGAAGGAACTGTTCACTGTACAAACTGTTCAATTAAATAATAATGTTGACTATTTCAATTTGCAACAAGAAAATGTATCAGTGGTAGTATCTAGAGATAAATGGCAACATTACAGTGTCTAGGATATATAAAAAGAACGACATCACATTTAGTGGTGACGACAACATTACAGTGTCTAGGATATAGAAGAAGAATGACACCACATTTGGTGGTGACATAATGGATGGACAAAATCTATAGTACAACACAAAGGATATGTGACCATAAAAATTCTAAATACACAATACAGTTCTATTGAGAAAACTCTTTATGAAAACTCAAAAGCATATACGTATATATATCTACATGTATATCAATAGAGTGGATCACAAACTGTGTACTGACCAGCATGTCCCGATTGTCTAGCGTAATCTAGCGGAGTTCCATCTTCAGCATCAAAGGGACTAGGATTGATGCCTAGTTTAAGCAACATGGCTATGGAATCAGCTTGCCCCGTGGCAGCTGCCCAGTGTAATGCCGTCCTGAAAATACAAACCATGTACCATGTAAAAAGTGGATCTAACCACTCATGTGTCAAGAGGCGACTTGTTGATCTGAATGTAGTTATCACAATATCTGAAAAATCAAATTGACATGGCTTTATCACTTCAACATTTCTCTTGTGATATTTGGTCTTATTATGTAACAAAATATTTTAAAATAACTAGAGATTAATCACAGCATGAGTATATATGTTTAGGATTGCTTTTGTTTAAGGTACAGCTGGAAAGTAACATTTTGGTAAAAAATTGCTATACCTGCACATGTTATTTTCTGGTACAAAATAAAGTATGAAGCCATGTGTCAATTTCCTTGCTTTTTTCAGGAAAGTATCATTACATTGTCTTCTTTTAAAATATCTGGTAGGCGTTCAATGGGAACTCCAGGAAATTCTGATATTTCACACTTTCTATTTTTCCAAATTTTCTTTCAAAGTTTCCAGACAACACAGGAGCTACCATTGACCTGTTTCCAGATATTCTAAAAGAAGATAGTGTAATGATACTTTCCTGAAAAAAGCAAGGAAATACACATATGCCTTCATACTTAATTTTGTACCAGAAAATAACATGTGCAGCTATAGCAATTTTTTACCAAAATGTTACTTTCCAGTTGAACCTTAATGAATTAAATTTTGGTTTTCAATTTCTAATTTTTTCTTCAACATGTATTGTAATGACTTCAGTATGGATGAAATGTCCCTAGTTTGTCTTCTGGTCTTGGATTGTGATATTGGTTCTTGAATGGTGGGGGAAAGGGGGTATTAGACATTGTTTCATGGTTTTGGGCTATATGGGGTTTGTTTTTCTTGATTTGTATGCGCTTAGAGTTTGCTTTTTCTTGCTAAGTTCCAGTTCAACTTTTGGTCCTTTCCCTTTGGCACTAGTGCATATATATTTACATGTAATATCCATTCTGTAAAAAGAATGACACTTTTTGTCACAGGGTTTGATTATACCATAGGAAAGTTGATACTGTCAGAAACATGGATACAATATCATGATGGAAGTGTTACAAAGTTGATTAATGCTTTCATGAACAGGAGGCAATTTTTAAATGAAAAAATTAAACAGAGCTTCACTAACATGAGATTGATAAAATGAATTTTGTAGAAGTTTTTTTCAAGATGACCTTATTACTATCTTAGTGACCTAGTTGGATTTATAATAAATATTTTTAATAAATTAATAATAAATAGTAAGCCTGATGTTTATGGGGACAGTTGTAATATGTCTCATTGCAAATCTAACACATGCAAGTCATTTTTGTTTTCCACTATTATCAAAACCATAATTACCAGTGTAGATACACTTAATTTGACGTTACTTAATTTGCTCAGTTTCAAATATTGGCGGCTATTTAATTTAGCGGAGACAGGAATGAGCTCAGGTTTGGTATAGCACTGACATATAGATAGGAATACTACATAAGTGAAATAATTGCAAATTACAAATTCCTTTGGGGATTTACAGAATTAGGTTACTTCAGCTTTTAACCATTAAGCTATCTTGGATTCTCCGAATTCTTTTGATTGATTATTATGGACTGTACCAAAAATATACCTCTCATCGGGATCTTCACATTCCAAGTCACATTCAGGAATCTTGGCTAGCTCTGCTATGATCTGACTGTGCCCAGCAGCAGCAGCGAAGTGTACAGGGGTCTTCCCTGAGTGATCTTGGTGGTTCACTTGTTCTGAGGCTGAAGGCAACTTTGCTATGTAGCTACAACATGCAATGCTTCCATTCTGTAATGTATAAAAAAGGAAGAAACATTTTCATTGCAAAATGTCACGATTTCGTATGTTATTAATGTTAATAATGGATGTAAAAGTAGATACAGACGCCAACTGCAGACACCGAATGTTGTTGTAAAAAATGGTAACTATATCAATACGGTTGTGTCAGAAGCATTTTTTCTTAACAATAATACAATGTAAACAAGGTATTCATATTCAACCACCTGCCACTTGTTACAGATAATGACTGCCAAACACCAATCACTGAACTCAAAAATGATGTGGTGGAGACATAAAAATACAAGGGTATTTTGTGTTTAAATTATCTAGTTAGTAATTCTAAAGTTTTCAATGCTTTATTCCTGGTACAAACATTTTTCATAAACAAAACTTGAAAATGAAAAGATATACCCATGTGTTTTGACAATATGACATCTATACTTCAAGTATAAAACAATCCCAATAACGTTTCTTTATCCACCTTTTACACATTCTGTGTAGTCATCCAATAAGTTCAAATAATAGCTACATACACCTATTTATAGAATATATATCACAGCATAACAGAGTCATTATATTTTCATGCCATGGCATATTGATGTATCACCCATGATATGAATTATTAAATATACATTTTGTATATGTTATAAAGCAATGGATTAATGATGTATAGATGAAAGCACAAAAGAGACTCTACACATTTTTGATGGCATCATATCAGCTATTACTATATACAGTAAAACCTGTAAAATGGAACACCTCTTAAGTGGAACACCTCCTTAAGTGAAACACTTTTCAAAGCCCTCTGATCCATTAACTAATGTCTAAAGAATTTCTGCAAGTAAAGTGGAGCACCTCGATACAAGGCATTAACATGCAAAATCTCATCACCAACCATTAAACACCAACTGCCAAACACCAAACATCAGCCGCTGAATGTCATCCACAAAAAAGTTGGAGACTATAACATTATGTCACCACTTGAAATACATCGGAAGTACATGTACAGTTACTTACATCTCATTGTAACAAGTGTTCCTCTTGCACATGTTTTACTGTATTTACCATAAATCAATAACTGGTATTCACATCATCAAAACCTAACATTTTTGATGATCCTATTTATGTATTCACTTTGAACAAAGGAATAGGGCTGGATTAAAAAGTTTACTATGAAAACAGACAGCAAAGGATACATACATGTACACGTACATACATATATGTACCTACATGTGTATAATTATGATACATGTGTATAATTGTGATTGTTACGTCAGACAATGCCACGATATGCTATCTAATGCATATATTAAGTTTAGATGATTTAATCATTTGAGATGAGATCACTTTTACTATTGATTCCCTACGTATATGTGTCCCAATTACATACTAACCTGGGCTGCCCAATGCAAAGCATTCTTGCCATCTATGTCTACTGATGTAATGTCAGCACCCCGCTGAAGAAGCAGTTGCAGATGCTCTGGTCTGTTATGGAATGCAGCCCAATGAAGACCTGTCATGCCCTGAAAGTAACAATACAAGAGGACATGATACAAAACTGCAATCATCTCCTGAAGAAGCAGTTGCAGATGCTCTGGTCTGTTATGGAATGCAGCCCAATGAAGACCTGTCATGCCCTGAAAGTAACAATACAAGAGGACATGATACAAAACTGCAATCATCTCCTGAAGAAGCAGTTGTAGATGCTCTGGTCTGTTATGGAATGCAGCCCAATGAAGACCTGTCATGCCCTGAAAGTAACAATACAAGAGGACATGATACAAAACTGCAGTCATCTCCTAAAGAAGCAGTTGCAGATGCTCTGGTCTGTTATGGAATGCAGTCCAATGAAGACCTGTCATACCCCGAAAGTAACAATACAAGAGGACGCAATACAAAACTGTAGTCATGTCCTGAAGAAGCAGTTGCAGATGCTCTGGTCTGTTATGGAATGCAGCCCAATGAAGACCTGTCATACCCTGAAAGTAACAATACAAGAGGACGCAATACAAAACTGTAGTCATGTCCTGAAGAAGCAGTTGCAGATGCTCTGGTCTGTTATGGAATGCAGCCCAATGAAGACCTGTCATACCCCGAAAGTAACAATACAAGAGGACGCAATACAAAACTGAAGTCATGTCCTGAAGAAGCAGTTGCAGATGCTCTGGTCTGTTATGGAATGCAGCCCAATGAAGACCTGTCATACCCCGAAAGTAACAATACAAGAGGACGCAATACAAAACTGTAGTCATGTCCTGAAGAAGCAGTTGCAGATGCTCTGGTCTGTTATGGAATGCAGCCCAATGAAGACCTGTCATACCCTGAAAGTAACAATACAAGAGGACGCAATACAAAACTGTAGTCATGTCCTGAAGAAGCAGTTGCAGATGCTCTGGTCTGTTATGGAATGCAGCCCAATGAAGACCTGTCATGCCCTGAAAGTAACAATACAAGAGGACATGATACAAAACTGCAATCATCTCCTGAAGAAGCAGTTGTAGATGCTCTGGTCTGTTATGGAATGCAGCCCAATGAAGACCTGTCATGCCCTGAAAGTAACAATACAAGAGGACATGATACAAAACTGCAATCATCTCCTGAAGAAGCAGTTGCAGATGCTCTGGTCTGTTATGGAATGCAGCCCAATGAAGACCTGTCATACCCTGAAAGTAACAATACAAGAGGACACGATACAAAACTGCAATCATCTCCTGAAGAAGCAGTTGCAGATGCTCTGGTCTGTTATGGAATGCAGCCCAATGAAGACCTGTCATACCCTGAAAGTAACAATACAAGAGGACATGATACAAAACTGTAGTCATCTCCTGAAGAAGCAGTTGCAGATGCTCTGGTCTGTTATGGAATGCAGCCCAATGTAGACCTGTCATACCCTGAAAGTAACAATACAAGAGGACATGATACAAAACTGCAGTCATCTCCTAAAGAAGCAGTTGCAGATGCTCTGGTCTGTTATGGAATGCAGTCCAATGAAGACCTGTCATACCCTGAAAGTAACAATACAAGAGGACGCAATACAAAACTGTAGTCATGTCCTGAAGAAGCAGTTGCAGATGCTCTGGTCTGTTATGGAATGCAGCCCAATGAAGACCTGTCATACCCCGAAAGTAACAATACAAGAGGACGCAATACAAAACTGTAGTCATGTCCTGAAGAAGCAGTTGCAGATGCTCTGGTCTGTTATGGAATGCAGCCCAATGAAGACCTGTCATACCCTGAAAGTAACAATACAAGAGGACGCAATACAAAACTGTAGTCATGTCCTGAAGAACCGGTTGCAGATGCTCTGGTCTGTTATGGAATGCAGCCCAATGAAGACCTGTCATACCCTGAAAGTAACAATACAAGAGGACGCAATACAAAACTGCAATCACCTCCTGAAATATAAGCGTTTTGTGTAGACCTGTCATTTACTGAAATACTTAGAGTAGACTGTCATGCCCTGAAATACAACAAGTACATAATGTGCACCTGTCATATCCTGAAATTCAGCCCTGACAAAATATTGACTTGTCCTGCCGTGCTCTTAAATTTAAAAAAAAAATCAAAAGATATGTCTGGATGTCAATTATATTTATATATATATTAATTGAAGTTTTGGATTTAAAGGTGCACCACTACAAAATCCATTGGCAGCCTTTACTTTTGTTATGACAATAAAAATTGAGGCCTCTCCTTAAATATCCAAAAGATTCAATTCTCGAAATCGTTGTTCCCTCTTCAAAAGAGAAGACGCGAAAACCTTTCCTTATAAGGGCAAAATATTTCCCATGATGCAGTTCGGGGAGGAACAAATTTATACTTCCTTATTTTCCCTCATAAGTTTAACAAGGGGATTTTCACACCTATTTTTCAAACGATATATTCGTTCATATTCCCGTACGAGAGTACAGAAAAAATTATTAGAAACGATTGATCTCTCATTAATCTTAATACAACAGCTATTTTTTTCATTGTATTAATTCATAGCGTGGTGAAAACGATGATTGAAAAGTGAGAAAATATTCCGGAAGAGAAGGTCACGTGATCAGTAGACTAGTCGCCATATTGGAAAAAACAATTCCATTCGACTTTCAATACTTTCATGCCAATCTTACCGCACTACAAACTGCGACATCGATGCAACAACTGAATAAAAGTATTCATCTTCAAATTACATTATAGAGTTACGTTGAAAACCCACAAACAACTGAGCAGTAGACCAGAGAAGACGCATCGCTATTATCTAGGTCAATCTGTTCAGTGGTCCGAAAGCAAATCTATAGTACTCGTTTCCGAATTTTGTTGTTCATTGTACAATCTTTTATTGATTAAACTCGGTATACTGACTATTAAAGCAATGACAAAGAAGAATACTTACGATGGTGTCATTGTTTTATTTAGCGTGCGGGTGTGAAAACAAAATTGAGTAATTAGTTTGATTTAGAACTTTCGTGTCATGCAAATAGCTACGCGAAATGCATAGTGGGAAAATATTGACCAATCAAATTTTGTCCTTTTTGAGTGCTTTTTCAGTGCATATTTGCGAACGTTCTGATTCAAAGAGCGAACCGCGAAAAGGAGAATTCAAACAGCACTTGATGGCCAACCTCAAGTGCAATTTAAAAGTCTATACGTATATGCATGTAGTAGTGCTATGTAATATATATTTTGCACCCTTCTACAATGCCCTTGAGAACTGAATGGCTTTGTTTAATTCAATTACTTGATAAATAAATATATCATGATAAAACATACAACAGCAGCTCATAAAAATACAATTACAAATACTTCCGTTTATACTTATGTTTTACCAATATTCAACTTTTTGATGTACAAATGACCTCATTCAATTGTTCTGAATTGACAATACTATGAGGTCGTCAATAATACTTTTAAATCTTATGGAATATTTTGCATTTTCTGAAATATCTTATTGAAAGCCCATGGTATCATATCATATTTTGCAGTTTGAAGACATAAATCTTCCACTAAAGGTGAGTCATATTGAAAATAATGTAGCTTTAAGTTATTCTAATGTCTTACCTCATTGTCTTTCTGATTGATGTCATCTATGGACATAATCTGTAGAAGAGCACCAAGTGTTCTGAAATAATAAAAAATGTGTTCTGAAATAATAGAAAAGTGTTCTAAAAAGGTGTTCTGAAATAATATTATCTATTGTTATATTAAAAACAATATCAGCCACTTTCTCTTGAAGGTAGTGGTTTGGGAATCTGACACAATTACAAACAGAATCTGCAAATAAAATGTTTGTTTGTGTTTTTTGTTTTAAAGTTAATTGCTTGGATTCCATGACTTCACTCATGATCATGGAACATACTCTTCAAATATCTTAAAAATAAAAAAATTATACATATTCAATTGCAATTTATTTCATCATTTTCTTTATTTATACAGGATGGCTTGCCAATTACTATTATGGCACTATAAAAAGTTAATCAAATAATATTCAAATATAATTGTACGTAACATGGAAGCAAAAAAGTAAAAATATTGTGATCCCTAAATTATTTTTAGAGCATGATATATTGTACGATTTTGGGCCTTCTTATCTTTTGGAGCACTCTCAAGCATGGGTTGAAAGAGGGACTCTGATAAATCATATCTAATAAGGAAATAACTAGTGAGGGAAGCAGACTGGTTAAATATGAGTAACAGTATCAGTTGTAGTCTTAAATTCATGTTAGATACAAGGAAACAAGATATACTCGATGACGATTTATTAACGCAATTGTTAATATTGAACAAAACCTGTTCTTCATTGATGAACATAGTTTTTTGGATTCATTAATTGTTCCCCTCTTTCATAAACTCCTCAAACTTCATTCATAAAAACTTAACAAGATTAAAAACCTTCACTCAAAACCAATCAAACACCCACATTCTGAACAGAATATCCTGATTCAAATAATCCCCATTTTATCAATCGTAAACCAAATTGTTCAAATATTACCTATTATAGAATAACACCATCGCTTGCTTGCAATTTATGTTTGGGAGAAAGTTTTCAACAAAGTACTAATTGTTATAATATTTACATTTCACAATATGGAAACTTTTACATGAAACCCAATGAGATATTCAAAGGAATTAAAAGGAATTAAATCAATAAATATATAGGTTTTTGACCATTTTGACCTCATTTATCTCAGAACAAGTATTTTCGCAGTACTGCATTCGATTTTTAAGCAAAAGTGAGGAAATCGATATCTCCAACAATGAGAAAATTGGGAAAAAGTTCATATGAAAGTTAAGTGAATTTTGATTGGTTGATATTATCACAAATGATACAAAATCACAATACACTTAAAGGCATAGTTTCATTCATGATTTTAGTCAAATGAAAGTCCAATATATAGAGTTTTAGGGATTATCTCAAAGACTTAGTGAGAACCAAATGAATTCCTATTAAGACATCAATACTTCAGGCAATTGGTGGGAGAAAAGGCTAGAAGGCACTGCCCAAGAAATCACTAGATACAGTACAGTAAAAGTAATTCAGTAATAAGTAATAATAAAGTACTTCAGGGTGTTTGAGTGGTTCACAACTTGTACAAAAGGCTGTGGTGTGTACTTGTATGTCTATGTATGGGTGCACATAAAAGAACACAGGGGTCCTTTGAGGAGGGGTTTCTGGGTCTATCTTCCAGGCTAATTACGTAAATTATGACCATATTTATACTATAGTATGGGATATACCATAGAGGTATTGCTCACCTTCATTGGTAGTCAACAAAATACAATACAATTCAATAGGCATGTAATACTACAGTGTATACGACCCCTTGGATCACATCCAATGGAAAATCACACCTGAAGGCTGGTTCTGCATCTTTAATTAAATTACTGAAAAATATTTTACTGTTATCCCTCACTAACTGATGTTGCAATATCCAAATTCCCCATTTTCTTTATGAAACTGTTCTTACTTGTATATAAGCAAGTGTCCCTTCATTTCACCCATCAAAGAGAAATCTACATTCATCAACATAATAATCTGCAATTATCGAAATCTGACAACAAAAAGAACAAATATGGAGAGAATCTTATTACAAATATGTGGTATGTTTTAATAATCTATTTATTATTATTATTTAATATATAAAAATGACACCTTCCAATTACAATGATCATAAAGCAATTATTATATATATTATATACAATACTGGAATATCATGAAGCTCAAAATACTTAAACTTCATATTTTTGGTAACTTGGAAACTCTTTTAAATATATTTAAATACTAAAACATACTTTCAAGAATCAAAAGATGTCATGCAAGTAAGGAAATACATGATGACTTAGCTTATTACTAAATATTTATTATTGTATTACACTGGCATATCATAAATATAAATTAATTAAACATCACATTTTTGTGCATCAAAAATTCTTTATCTAATACATGTATGTGTAAATACTAAAACAAGTTAGAGAATATATGTCAATTTCGTTTTTTTACCAATCTAATTTTGTAAACAGTTTCAGAAATTCCACATAATTTCTTAATTCAGAAAATCAAATACAATACATATTTTCTTTACATGTTGAGCTTCAAAAGGGATTTACAAAGAAATAAGAGATTATTAAACTAAAATGTCATCTGTATAAGCATTTGTTTAAAAATCAATCATGGAATGTTTAAAGGAATATTCCTTGCCAGACCCTTTCTTTCTTGATATGATAGCTATAATCATATATATAGTTTCCATATTTAGCAAAACATGGGAAAATGTCAATATTGATAATTTAAAAATCTAGTGCTTATTTCCAGTGAGCTGCCATCTTTTAAGATTTCTTGCAGGAAGTGATGTCATCAACTCTCAACTTCTATAACCTTGCCCATAACAGTATAGGAAAGTAGCACAAAATCACTTCTAGACAAGTGATCATTACTTTCTGTGCAAAAATATTTTCAGGGCTTGTCAACTTAGAACAAAAGAAGAGATTTTCAGAAGGATTAAATAAGATACAAAGTTGAAAAGAATATTTAGCTGGTTTTGTAATTCTTAGTAGCTCCTCACCTAATGCTAAATGCAAAGTTGAGAGTCGATGACATCACTTCCTGTGTGAAATTTTAAAAGATGGCAGCTTACTGGAATTGAGCATCACATTTCTAAGTGATCAAATTTGACCATATCAAAACATTTTTGCGTGTTTTGCTAAACATGGCAAGCATATATATGGTTATAGCTACCATATGAGGAGAGAGATTGTTTGGCAAGGAATATTCCTTTAAGCATAAAACCAGGTGTCATCATCAAAAACTAATCATAAACAATACTTTTGAAATTAGTCACTTAATATTGTTCCCATAAGCTGGCATTCTTATAGAATGAGATCAGAACCAACAAAAACTGATTCATTATTTATAAGGCATATATATGAACATTATTGGTTCTCATTATAATATCGTGAAAACTGGCAACCAATAGTGGCTCTAGTTTAAAAAAAGGGAATTCTTGGAACTCTTGGTTATGAACGAGTAATTTAGTTTTTTAAACTCTTTGTAATATATAAGGGCAAATCAAAGTTGTACAAAAGATTGCAGATACTGTTACATTGCTTAAATATTTATTTAATTGCTTGTTAAGAATCATATACATGTCATTAGTTACAATATGATAATTTTCTTTCATATTTGATATATAGATGCATAAAACCATAAAAAATGTGATAAATGTATGAAACTCAAAACATGTTTCGTTTATTTGGTATGCATATTTCAAATGTTTACTTGAATATCACTTATTCTTTTCTTTACATTTTTGAGATCATAAAATCAAGTTAATCACTTATACAGATTCAGATTCCCACACCCACTCTGAATATCACAACACTATTCATTGGTAATTGGAAATTTAGGCAGGTAATAAGTAAGGGGGACTTCTGGATCAGAAATGGCAAAATTTGATTGGCTCACAAGATCTTATTTTCAAAAATAGGTCAAGTTGCAAAAGTAGGTCAAAATTCGAGGTTTGTCAAATTACACAAATATCCTAGGTAAGTATAACCCATATTATACAATATAATAGGATGACTGAATATCATCAATAAAACGATGTCATTGTATAATCTTTGGAGTAAGTTATTCAAGCTTTGCTAAACATTTTGCTTCATACAGTGCCCAGAAAAAGCAGAAAGCTTTTAATAGGGACCAATGGCACAATTACAATCAAGTACAACCTGAAGATTGTATAGAAAATGTGTATTTCTTTGAAAGAAAATATTACCTTCAACTATTCAAAACCATTGTTCAATCTCCCATATTTTCTGTTATTTATTAAGTTACAGAATTCATGAAGTACTTTCTTGTGTCATTGAATATAATATTATCTAAAACTGTAATTTTTTTCCAAAAAGCATATCAACCATTTCAATCCCTCATGCCTAACTATTATATGAAACATTTTATGGTATAATCTTATATCATTTTGTATTCCCCAACCCTTTAATAAATATATTGATATGATATAATATTTTAGAATCACACTCTCCTATAGGTTTCATGTAACTTCAAAACAAACTTGTACAAATGTAATTATTGTTTTATGAAATAAAAAATATATACATTCTTTAGGAGTGGCAATGCTTCTACTGAGCACTACACAAGGGTTATATCTACCACCCATTGTTCATCCTTGGCAACGCCCAAAAACCTGTACAGCTAACCCCGAGGAAGGCAACGATGGATGGAATGTGATGACCCCACCCCCTGTAGATTTCATACAAGAGTATGAAACTATAGCCACAATAGCTGATCATATATCTGCTAACCTTAGCATCATCATGCATGAATACAATGTACAGTATTGAATTTTTATATATTTGGGTTGAACTTTTGTGGCTTACTCACATTCATTTTTAAATGGTTAATGTAATCATCGATGTTCACTCATTCAAGTTTTCTGTAAAAATGATGATTTCTGCAAATGAAATAAGTAAATAGTGTAAAAGAAAATACTTTGTGATTTCTGCAGGATTTCTTGACAAACGATGAAAAAATAAGAACTTTTTTTTTGTAATTTCCTTGATGTCAGAGATAAATTTAAAAAAAATGACCCAAAAATATTGAGATGGTTTTAATATGCTGCCATTTAGCAAAGTAAACAATTATTATTTATATTCATAATAAGAGAATTTAAAAATACACAAACCCCAAAAACTAGAATTAAAATATTATTTATATCTACAGGCTGGCAGTTTAGTTTCAAGTGACATAATTGACAATCAATTGTCAGGTTGGCCTTACCCTGCTCTAACAGGATTTCCAGATAGTCTCGAAGAAAAAGAAAATGTAAGTTGACGCCAAAATCATATCAATTAAATATATGAACTGAAACCTGTTATTAATTATATAAGATAATCTGTCATATATTGAACTAGACACTTTAACATGTTACTACTCGAATTATACCCTTTAATGCATAATGTCTTTAACTAGACCCTTTAACATGGCATACATTGAACAAGACCCTTTAAAATGTTATAACTTGAACAATACCCTTTAAGATGTCATATCTTGAACTGGACCGTTTAACAGATATCTTGAATAAGACTCTAACATGTCATATCCTAAACTAGACCTTTTGACATGTCATATCTTGAACTAGATCTTTTATATGATGATGGTTCATTTTAAAGGCTGATGACATTATACTGGAAGGATACAGAGTGGTACAAGATGTCGCTCCATTTATTGAACTAGTCCGTCACGAACATGCCTTAGCAACACACCAAACCGAAGACTGGGCCCAAAAAATTGAAATGTCTCTGAAACGTGGGATTGTGAGTCTTGCTACGGAACTTTGTATTAGTGTCATATCCCACTCCCTGACCCATCCTGAGGATATCGGAATGACAGCTGCTATGGAGCATGCACAGAGTAACGATGGTATACGATATCAGAGAGATTATTTGATATTCCGTGATGCTAAAGTTGTTATGGACCATATAAAAGATGAGTTTGAAAAACTCATTTAGATTATTTGGTATCTTGATGTACCACATGTCTTCTAGCATGCTGTAGTCAGGAACACCTCTTACCCCTAATCTACTAATGCCAAGAAAAATTGTGGCCTAAATTTTATTGAAAAGATGCTTTTTGGAAAAAATGGCAACTTTCATACAAATTTTGAATATTTTCTGTGAAAACTGGCAATTTTGAGTTCACCCCCACCCTTAATAAAAGCTCGCTACAGACTGTTAAGAATGAAAGTCTAATGAGACTCTTCACAGTTAGTGGAGAAATATGTAATTGAAAGTGTGTATCACACTATCTTCCCGAAAGAAAGTGTCTTTCCAGGATTTTTTCTCAACTGGGTGTAATAAATTATAATTTAATATAATATTACAAGAATTATTACACAACATATTACACAGTTTTTCGAAATTATTTCTTGTTGTAGCATCCAGTCGATTTTAAAAATGTTGGAAAGATTACAAACTTATCAATATTATATTGGAATAAAATGCTTCTGTCCATATTGGATACACATATAAAGCTGGATTTTAAAAATGCATCCGTCTTTCCATTGGTTTAACAGAGAAACTCCTGTTTTTTCTCAATATTTAACTTAGATATTCTATTTAACCTAGAAATTCGTGCCGATAGACTCATTCTGATGGCTACTAAAAGAAGAATCAGATCTTGCGAGTAACAAATATTGTTTCAATTTCAGATTGTTTTTTACAATAATGTATCATTCTATAAATATGGTTACCATATTCATTATTTGGGAGAATTTGAACATTTACCCCCATTTTTGCTTTACCAACTTATAACATATCATGGATCTTTTGGGAGATACGATGTTTGAGATTGTAAGAAATACATTGCTAGATCAATTATGCATATTGACTATTACTTGCAATTTTGTCACCCCCCCCCCCCCCCCCAATAGATCTGATTCTGCCTTTAAGTACAGTGTGACATCGCGATGTCATTTATAACGATTTTGAGCCATAATGTCAATAAATGTTAAAATATGAGTCTCACACTTGTTGTTGCTTCTTCCATATAGGGATGAAATAATGTAGGCCCCTACAGTTCAATATTCTGTTTAGTTGGATCAATGATAAAAAGAAAAAATGAGGAAAAATGATAAAGTGACCAGTGAATTCTTTTACTCTGTATTGTACAATGTACGAGTAGATGTAAAACAAAATTAAAATCTCATTACATCAATGACCTGAATTCATTGTTATTAAATCTGGGTTATTTATCGAACTGGTTTGGGGAAAATAGTAAAAGCACTGAACTCTAATGAGACCAGCCAAGAGTGTTCAGTTTGGCAGGTGTTCAAATTTCAAAATTTTAATTTTTAACATGGACGATTCTGGTAGAATAAAAATGGGGCCAAAACAAAACGTACTCAGATTCAAAAGGTGTTCAAATATACAGGTTTAACTGGAAGTTGAGGTGGGAGGGGGTAAAGACTTACTTAGTATCTGGGTCATAAGTTGATGCGTGAAGTGGAGTCCGCCCTGCTTTGTCAGGTGTGAACTGTTTGGCACCATTCCTTAGCAAGGACACTACGCCACTATGCCAGCCCTGGAAATATTAACAGACTCATCAGTAATCTTTTTCAATAATATAAATTATCATGTCAGACCTAAAAATGTTAATTTTTGTTCCATAACTGAATATATAATGCTGTGGCCTAAGAATAAATACAAAAACCAAGTACCCTCTTAATGTTTTGATACCACATGCAATCATGCATATACATATATTGATGCATGACTGGCAGACTGAAAATTATGAACTAATAATCAGTAACTTTTTCATATATTGAACAACTGTATATCATAAGGTAAGTCCCGAAAAAATGATAAACACAATTTCTGAGACACATTTCTCTTCAAATCATGTTGCACGTCGCTTAAACATATTTAATCAGATTCTCATAACAAGCCTTACCATAGCACAGAAATATCACACCTAATCACTTGTCAGTTAATAGAGGATTTGAATAGAAAATACAATTTGATTATTTTCACCCATAAATGCCCTTTGTTCCATAATCAAGAGAAGATGCACATGCAATGTCTGTTAGCCAGTGGGCGATGTGACATAATTATGCTGTGACTATTGTGCAGCTCTGAATCATGCACATAAGGAGGGGGTCAAGTAAATATCTTCAGAGTACCTTGGAACATAAAATTATTAAAATGTCTATATACGAGATGTACTTTAGAGTGTTGACATAAGCCTGTTTACTTTATTCAAATATATTTCGACAGGAATACTGCGGCAAGTTAGTACCTGATATGCAGCGATACTGAGACAGGAGCGTCCTAAGTTGTCTTGGGCATTCAGGTTGGCCCCCATTATGACAAGCATCTTCATAGCCTCCATTTGCCGTGACATCACCGCTTGGGCTAGAGGAGTCATACCTGAAAAAGAAAAAATTGCATTTATTAATGTGAAAACAGCAGTGTAGGGGTTGCTACAATATTTTCTAATCTTTCCTTGATAAAATGTGTTGCTCTTACCAACAACAAATTGAAGTATATCGACTTGATATCATCCCACTAATTCCAATATCATCCCGATATCAGTCCTGGTCCTGAATATGTGATTTAAGTTATCTTGCAACAAGATTATATTTTCAAAACTTGTTGAAAACTTATTGTAAGTTGAAGTAAGTTGTAGATTTTATAACTTGGATTACGATGCTATATGTCAATCAATAATCAATCGTAAAGAATCGAGAAAATGAAGGACCATAAATATACATATTTCTAAACTGTTATCCCATATACTGTAGGCTCCATACGTTTCCATTCCTGATTAAAATATTCTCATTTGTTGACTATATTACGAAAAAGGAAACACGTTTCAAGAGGTATTTCTTTACCATCAGCATTTGTCTGCTCTAGAACACTTGGGTCCTGCTGTATAACTTGTTTTAGCGTCTCTGTATCACCAATTGTTGCAGCCTGGTGGACAATAGACAAATCACCCTCTACATCGGAATCCTCATCTGAATCAAACAAGCAAACAATTGTAGTTATTGGGAGTTTATTAAAAATAGTTTGCAAGAGTTCCTATGTCCTATAAAATTTTAAAAAATTTATCAACTGGTATTTGAGATATCGCCTGAAGAGACCAGAGTATGGAATAGATGGATGGATGAACAGGTGGACACACAGACAAATGGATGGCTTCTCAATAGCTCTACTCAATAGAGTTGGTGGGATAATAAATGTTTTATGAGACACCTCAGAACAGAATATGAAAATAATTATGTTATGAGGGTGAGGTTGAATAGTCAGGGTTTTAGATTCTGAAGGGCGGGGACTTTAAGTTAGGTGTTGCAAGGTTAGTGTTTCACATTAGATGTTTGGAAGGTCTGGGTTTTTGTTAAGTGTTACAGGGTTTTGGTTGTGTGTTGTAGGGTTTTGGTTGCAGGGTTTTAGTTGTGTGTTGCAGGGTTTTTGTTAAGTGTTACAGGGTTTTGGTTGTGTGTTGCAGGGTTTTGGTTACAGGGTTTTGGTTGTGTGTTGCAGGGTTTTGGTTGTGTGTTGCAGGGTTTTGGTTGTGTTACAGGGATTTGGTTGCAGGGTTTTGGTTGTGTGTTGGAGGGTTGGGGCTTTGGAAATGATATTTGGAGGGTTTTGGTTCAGTTTTGCAGGGCTGGGGTTTTAGAATTGATGTTTTGAGGGCTTTGGTTAGGTGTTGCAGGGTTGGGGTTTTTAAACTGATGTTTGGGTGTTAGAGCTTTCTGACATTCTAAGATATCATTGATTTCAAATTTGACACAAAAATAGATATTAAGCTAGTTATTGGTAATTTAAGTCAAAAAATAACTGTTGCGCAGGGCCAGTCACGCTGTTGATGGCCCTGGTCCATTATAACTCACTGCATTTGCACTGGTGTAAACATCGATAGCCGTTTTTGAAACTGCATGATTGAGAACTTGTGAATGAATAATAATACATAGATGCAATTAACAATGTTAAGGAGTGTGGCACCTTGGCATAAATATAATTATTGGCCTCTCTCTCTGGGCCATGAGTTCTCCAGATGGGTTATTCATGTCTAGTTAAAGTGCATCTATTAATGATACCCCCCATTAGTAGTAATATAATAATATAATATACAGACTCTTATAACTCCAATATCATTTCACCTGACAGTGGGGAAGCAATCTATAAATGTTGAATTACGTTACATACAATGTTAAGTTATAGATCATGGTATTGATTATACACGCATTATATTTGATAAAGCTACTTCTCATAATCCATGATCAGGTACGGCGTGACATATGATAAAAGATGATAACGCAGAAATAAATCAGCACTATACAGAAAGAAACATACAACAAAAATGTAAAATGAATACATATACATTAAACTGGCTTTAAATTAGATTTTGATTGATATGAATCAGTGAAATAGAACAATCAAATAAAATATCAATAATTTTGATCACAGATAAATCAGGTTTTTGTCTCCCTCTACAGATATAAAGAAGCAGTGATTCTTAAACATCAGTTCAGCAATAAAGTATACCACTATCCTCTTTTTAGGTCTAGACTTAAACAGGAGAAGATTACCAGCAATATCAAATCTGTGTTTGTGACATTATAGACTGTCATATAAAATGACATAAGAAAGTAAACAATTTAAGTGAAGGTTCATGCTCAAACATCCAGTGTTTCAAAACTGGTAATCATATTGTTTGATTTACCAGAGTCAGATTATCTTGATTCAACAATATGAGCCCTACTTTCTTTCAGAGATAGAATAGCTTATGGAAACCATGACAACCGCATCTGTCAAATATGAAGTAAATAACACAATAACAACCTACCCCTATCCATCATTCAATAAATCTGTATACTATAATCCAATGTGTTATCTAAGTCTGCTTATTAAAATTATATGTAGATTAATCCTTCTTTGAGAGTACTCATAGAAATGCGATCAGAACTTTATTCATATTCTACATGTTTATGTCATTTTGTCATCTTATTGCGTTGATAATAGTTGTCTCTGGTCTAATTAGCATGTTGCCGTTTGGTTATATGTTTGGCAATATGTTACTTTACAAATAGATCTAAAATGGTTCTATGTGTAGGCATAATCTAAGAGGTTTCTTTTATGGTAAATTCAGTTTATTCTTAAACTATAATCCGATGATTTCTAAATTCCCTCGATAAACATATTGGTTAGGTCAACATTTGTAGGATTTGGTGGTTTCAGTTATGCTACTTTAAAACGGACCCAGTTTTAGATATAGATCTTATTTCAGCTGACCAATGATCTATTACTATACAATAATTAGTAAATATACAATATCATAGTAAATATACAATATTATAAAAATCTGACTGACAGAATAATATATCAATACAACTAAAACACGTGGAGAAAACGACTTATGACTGTGAAGTGAGTACTCAAAAACCCTAGCGAGAGAACATCTCTTGATGTGAAATTTTAATGATGATTTAACAAGAGGGAAAGATTATAATTCTGTGAAAAATCCATAGTAAAGTTGCTGGTACAATAAACAAGAGTATGATTGAACTGACCATATTTCACATGAAGGTACATATAGAAACAAGGCATTAACATGCAAAATGTCACCACCTACCATTTGTTACAGATCCTGAGTGCTGAACACTGTCCACAAAAAGGTTGGGGACTATAACACTGTCACCACTTCTGGTGACATGAAGGGAATATGTGTTAAGACATCACATTGATAATTATGAAATAATTACAGATATATCATGAAGATGGGTTAAAGGTCACTTCATTGCTTGTTTTGCCATAAGGCTTCTTACTTGATCTGCTGAGTATTCTAAAGAAATCAAAGATTTTAGCTTTTATGAGTTCATTCTGGAATTTTGGATATATCAAGTTTAATCCTTGAAGATGATTGAGTAACCAAGAATATGCTCTTACTATAGAGTTTCATTTCTTGAATGATTTGTAACAGCAATATAGCGTACCATTGTGGCAACAGGGTATGACTACAATAAATATTGATGCAATAAATTGTCCTGGACCCAGATTAAACAGCCCAACCGGATTAAACTGACCAAATACTAGAAATCCTTAACGTTTTGAACAAAACACATAAGCATGCTTTCCTAATCATAAATATTATGACCTATTATGGGCATTCAAGAAACCCCATGGATCGTTACACTAACTCGAAGCACAAAAAGCTGTTTATTTTTAATTAATTGAAATTAAATTGTATACATTTAAAGTATATTTAATAGAGAAAATATCTGGTATTTTCGTAATGGATCTATGTAGTATAGAAGGAAGGAAGAAGCAAGTGCTCTCTTGACCTTAGCAACAGCCAAGAACATGCAGTTACACACTGTTTACAATGTCAATTCCATGTTAACTACCTGCAGTACTGTAAATCATAACATACTCCAAGTTGTACTGCTTCTATGTTTTGTACTTTACAATTTACTCCAATCAAAACATAATTATAACAATCGAGTACAGCAAAATTGGATATAAAGCGATTATTATTCACAGTTGTGAATTGCTTATGCTAGATTGTGCCAATATCCAATTGGTTGTGCTAGATTGTGCCAGTATCAAATTGGTTGTGCTAGTTTGTGTTGCATTAATGTGTTCTACTAGATTGTAGCAAACTGCTCTATGGGTTATGCTTGAGATACACATTATCATATTAGTTGTAGTCTATCGGTTGTGCTAGATTATATCACATTGATCTGTTGGTTGAAGCTAACTTTGACACACTATTCTATTGGCTGTGCTATACTATAAAACATTTTATTGGTTGTGCTAGATTGTATCATATTATTGTATTGGTTTTTCTAGGTTGTATCACATTACTCTATTAGTTGATCTATACTGTATCACATTATTCTATAAGCTGTGCTAGTTTCTGACAACTTTTCAATTGGCTGTGCTAGATTGTAACATATTCTATTGGTTGCGCTAGTGGTTAGTATCATATTATTCTATTGGTTGTGCTTCATTATGACACAATATTCTTTTGGTGAATTGCTATTTTATATTATTATATTGGTTGTGCAATGTTTTGTCAAAGTATTCTATTGATTTAACTCGACTGTATCAAATTATTCTATTGGTTGTGCTAGAATGCTATAATTGTGACAGGGTAGGAAGGCTGGATAGAATTTGCTTGAACCATGTAAAAAGCCTTAAAAATACTGAACTGAAAACCTGTCAAATGAACATAATAATTATGGCTAAAGCATCTCTTCAAGATATTAATGAGTCAACAATATTTTTCTATAAATATGTTTTAACTGACAAATACAAATAAAGAATTGATTAATTTAAGAGAAAAATTCTAATTATGTTTTTGAGTGACTGGATCACATTGACCCAGACATTCTAACATAGGTTGTCAATTTCAATATTGAAGGTGCAAAAATAGAGTTATCATCAGTCAAATATAGAACTAAGTAGAAGGAAAGTTATATTTAGCTTCATTGCTGATGTGCAGCAAAAAATTAGGTTTTGTAACAATGCTCAAAAAATAATGTCCAAAATATACATAAACAGGTCAAGATGACCTAGTTTAAAAACAATTGACAAATATTATATTCGATAACATAAATTCACTATAGTTTGAAAATCAAAAACATTAACTGAGTAAAACGTTAACAAACTGATTGGTAAAAATGTTAATTTTGCTTTTAATACGTTTGTAGAAAATAAGCAACATTGTCCAGGTATATCATATGTCAAAAGAGGCAGTATTACTGAGATTTCTCACAGCCACAATAGCCAATATTCTAAGGTATCAAAGACGCCACAGGTTGCCTATGTATGTACCTATTTCCAAGATATTAATCAGTACAAATAGCATAATAATGAACAGAGAAAAACCTAATAAAAATAAAAGAATCAATAAAACGAGCGTTCAAAAGGTATCAAGGCTACTCACAATATACAATAATTGTTGGATTGCTAAAAGGTGTAGTTGTAGTTGACATGGCAACAATTTCCTTTGACAATGTTTTCTTTTCCTATTCCCCACGCCACATCAGTAATTTCACCAACAGTGATGGTATTTCAAACAGCATACAAATATCTGTCTCACTTTGAAGAACCAAGCGTTCCATGTTAGTTTTGTTTCCACACCCATCTTATTTGTCAGATACATATTTTATGTCAGCATCAATTTCAGTTTGCATTCCAATTTCCATATATTTTCCCAGATTATCTTAATTCTGTGGTAGGCTTGTACCATGTCCTACTTGACCCTTGGTTCTAATGTTGACAAATGACAACAAACACGATTTATTTGACGTTAATGTTTATGGACAAACAGGCAGTATAATCTACAACCATGACAGTTCATGACAATTGAATTTATTCCAACCCTTTATTTACATAAGAGAAACTGAACTTACTTTCTAGAGTGTCTTACATGAATTATGTCTTACTACAATAGACAATGTTTGCACAATAATTGGTCTTATCTATTGATAGAAGACAGAAGCGTGACATTCATATTTTTCGTGATTTGTTTTTATCTTGAAATGTGTCAATATTATCAATATGTAAATACTAAAGTTAAACACCCCTCCACATTATACCTCTTCACATTTTCAGGGTTACTCTTTGGCTTAATTTATGCCTCGTCTATTTGCTTTGGCCTCACCTTTTTGGATCTTGGCTACGCCCCTGCTCTTAAAGAAATTTGAAACTGGTGTTATACGATCTACATCATTATTGGTTGAAAAACTGAGAATGAAATGATCTTTGACATATCTCTGATTTGCAATCAGATGATAAAATATTAAGAATTCCTGGAATTAAACAAGAGAAGATCTTAGTGACATTATCTATCTTCATTTTAAGATTCACTACAATGATTTGATACTTCTTTCCTTTTAATAGGCAAATAACAATCCGATGTATTTTGTAATATGGATTTATTTTGTCATGCAGATGTGAAGATGATTTGATGCGGTCATGTAGAAGATGAAAAGATAATTTGATACTGTCATGCAGATGTGAAGAGGATTTAGTTTGGTCATAGAAGATGTAAAGATGATTTGATGGTATCATGCAAATGTGAAGACAATTTGTAATGCAGATCTGAATATGGTTTGGTTTGGTCATAGAAGATGTAAAGATGATATGATGCTGTCGTGCAAAAGTGAAGATGATTTGTTAGTATAATGCAGATGATAAGATGGTTTGGTTTGGTAATGCAGATGTCAAGATGACTTAATGCTATCATGTAGGTGTAAGGATGAGTTGATGCTATCACGCAGGTGTGAAGATGGTTTGGTAATGCAGAAGTGAAGATGACTTAAAGCTGTCATGCAGATTTGAAGATGGTTTTGTTTTATCATGGGGATGTGAGGATGGTTTAGTTTGGTCATGTAGAAGATGTAAAAATAATTTGATACTGTCATGCAAATGTGAAGATGATTTGATGCTGGCATACAGTTGTAAAAATGATTTGATACTGTCATGAAAATGTGAAGATGATTTGTTACTGTCATGCAGATGTGACGATTTGTCAAATAAATGTGATGATGGCATATACAGTAGTTTCAAACTAGATAATGGCAACTCCGCGGAGTAGCAAATCCCAACGAACAAAATATTTATTACCGAATTCCAATCAATTATACTCATTACTTTGGTTGAAAATGAAAAAATTAGATTTTAGAATTGCGAATTCCTGCAAAGCAGCCATTTTGAATTTTCTGAGGTACAAATCTGAAAAAATAATACCATAATTGTGATCTACTCCAAAATTCCTTCAATTTGAGTATAATATAGCCATACTTTGAAGGGATCGAAAAATTATTGCGAAATCGTACATTAGACGGCCATTTTGAATTTTACGCGGCTGGAATCAGAAAAAAGATACAATATTTGCAATCTACTCTTAATTGCCTTTCATTTGAGTATAATAAAACTATACTTCAGAAAGATCTAAAAATTAGCGAAAATTTCTGTTTTCTTGTCCCCCCATACATGGCCCCTGGGGGTCAGGATGAAAAACACGGAATATATCTGAAATAGATAAATGTTGTGAATACACTACCAAAATTTCAAACAATAATATTAATTACTTTGGTTTAGAATGAAAAATTTATGATTTTTGCGAAAAAGTCCCGTCATTTTTAAAGCGGCGGCCATCTTGAAAAAATTTTTTTTTGCATAAAACTATTCACCAATATACATCTTTCCACTAAATATGAAGAAAATCTGTCAACTAGTATTTGAGTTATCTTCCGGACAGACGGACGGACTGACTGACTGACTGACGGACTGACGGACAGACGGACGGACGGACGGAGGGCTTCACTATATCCCTAACGAACTTCGTTCGTTGGGATAATTATCTTATCATTAACTATGCAATAAAAGTTGTTAGAAAACCTGACATAACAATGCTAGGTTGGTTCAGCTTGATCCATCAGGTATTACATATCAGTAGGAGATCCATAACGTCATTTCCATTGTTCTGTGCATATTTCGCGCAGTAATTTATGGTGATTAGCCCACACATTTTTCGCATGACTGAACATCATGGTAGATTCACCCGTTTTTACACAATCACACTACTATACCCCCATACTGTATCCTGTATTCCTTTAAAAGAAGTACAGGCTACAGGGAAGTTGCAAATGGAGGACGTTTGTTTATTTCCATAGTTCTGAATGTATACTAGATTTTACACATATTCTAAGTGTTCTACTATACATTGTATAGATTCATCGAGCAGTTTGCAACGTATTATTACTAGTGTTGTCGCGATGTGCCATAATCGTACATCGATGCATCGGCAATTTTCAGGAGTAAACATCGATGCACATCGAGAAAAAGTCCGAGAAAAGTGCACTGAAATACCGAACGCTAATGCACTAAAATACCGAACAGAACAAATTAATAAGAGTACGCTGGTACATCCGGGAACTTCTAGTAACGGTGAAATGAAAGTAAAAGTAATTTTTTTAGATTAATGGTTCATTTCGACTAGCTAAAGCAGTTTTAAAGCGAAAGAATATCAGAAAACATTGGAAAATGAAATAAGTCATGAGAAAGGTAAGCGATTTGCGTCAAAATAAGATAAGAAAGGGTGATTTTTAGCAAATTAATTTTTTTTTTAAACATCGATGTTATGTTTCAGACATCGATGCATCCCCAGAATCAGCTTTGGCGATGTATATCGCGATGTATCGATTAATCGCGACAACACTAATTATTACCAGAAAAGCCCAATGGACAAAGATAGAGAATACCCGCTCCATTTGCAACTTAACCGTACCCTGTATCATTTTTAAATGTGGTCACGTGGTAGGGTAGTGTGACAATGATAGCTCACTCGTCTTCTATATGTTTTTCACAAAATAAATGTTTTTTTAAGCTTATGATATTATGAGGTTGATTAATAAGGAGCAGTACTTATACGAAATTAGTAAATCATCTTAAATGCCAAAATTGTCATTTGGTTTTGGCAGTATAACATTTAGTGGATATTGAAGTGATTGATTGTTGTAATATGAAGATGCTCAGAATGTTTCTAGCATTTTATGGTCAAGATATACACACTACACAGACCCATAAAATAAGCTTCTGAAGATGTCAGAAAATCGTTGTTCCAATGTATTGATGATATAGTTAAACAGATCTTAAAAGCTGTATGTTAAAAAAACTAAAAAGTTAAAGACCCTTGGTTTATCTTTTATAGAATAAACATCCAAAATGGAATAACAACTGGATATCAACTTTAATCCGAAATTAATCACACAACAAGGTATTAACATGCAAAATGTCCCTACCTGCCATTTGTTACAGATGCCGAACGTTATCCACAAAAATGTTGGAGACCATAACAATATGTCACATAAAACACACCTTGTGATGACATAAAAACCCATAGCTCAAAAATTATTCTAAAATGCATAACCCAAAAAATACAAATGTACTTTTTTCCATATACTTACTCCTACTAATTATTAACCCATGACGACTTATGAACCTTGAATCCTATCTAAATCCATAATTACAGTAATACCTTTGGAGTAATTACCCTAGGTTCAGAGTCAAGTTATAAACTAAAGACAAAGCTCTCTTTTAAGAAGCAAAGTCGATTGAATGCAAAGGTAATGGGTTACAGAAGAAGAGCTAGGTTTTAGAATAAAAAAATTTCAAAATAGTACATTTAAGAATAACCAAAGACTAAAGCATCATTGCTGTAGAATCTCAAGATTTATTGTATTCTACAAGATCTGGTTTTCATTGTCACTCTTAATCTAGAGACAATTCTTTGATTGATTATAATTCTTTTGATTTCCTATATTCAAACAGTGGATTCAGAAAATCATGACACTACATTAACTACAAGGCATTAACATGCAAAGATAGCACCACTTGCCATTTGATACAAATGCCAAACACAAACCACTGAATGCAAAACACCAACCGCTGCCACCAAAAAAGTTGGAGACTATAACAACATGTCACCACAAAATAAAATAAAAACCTATGAATGCTTCATTTGAGATCAATGAGATGAGCAACAAACCAGTAAAATCATCCGATAAACTCAAAGGGTAGTGTGGCTAGCTGATGTTGATTCAAGGTACACGTATCTAGGCATCAATTATATTCATAATGGTACCTTGAATGACACTAAGAAGATTATCATAGAGCTCCTTAATTAACGCCCTAACTAGAAGGCTGCATTTGAAATAATAAGGGATATAGGATACTCGACTCTGAAAAATAGCTATAATTAAGACTTTGTCACGTTCATATTAAAAGTCAGGGGAATGGAGAGCTATTTTGACACAAGTGAGATGGAAATTGCAATGAATTGCTACTGTCATAATTATCCAACCCTAAGGTCAAAATATAGAACTGAAGGACAATGAGCTGACAAAGTATCGAAGCATCATATCTTGGTAATGCCCACCATATAATTAATCATTATTCCCTCTGGGAAAGATCTTTTATGAATGGAATGGTGTATGGTCGCTAAAAATAGTTTAAATCTGGGTGGGGGTGTCTTGCACCAAGGTGGTGGTTTAATGGAGAAGATGAAAATTCATCTTA